TTTTTAGGAGGGTCATGTAGATAAAAAAAAACATAATTCTAAATAATATGTATGCGGTGAATACGAGTAATATAAGGGAATTACTAATAAAAGGCCCCTATTGTTTGTTGGTTAATTCTTTTTGTTAAGTTTCTACTTTTCGGTACGGAAAACGTTTAAGGAAAACGCGAGTTGCAAAAGTTGTTTCTCTCTGCTCTGCACCCTATCTGTACATCTCCAGATGTCTTGGGAGGTTAGTCTATCGATCTTTTTGTCCATCTGGATGTCTATGACCTCTCTGTGACCGAATTCTTATCGTCATAGATTCCTGGTGTGCTTGTGAGGAGAAGTGGGTTGTTTCCATTATTTAATCAAAAAAGATATATAGATTAAAAAAAAAAAATTCCTAATTATTCTTAATATTAATAACAGAAAACAGGGCATAGATACAACAGAAGGATGTCGTTCCTGACTTACAGTATCCTGGAGTCTACAAATTGAGTTGCATTTGTGGTGATTGCTACATTGGAGAAACGAAACGTCATGTTTCTGATCGTGTCCGCGAACACAAGTCAGATCTGAAACACGGCAAAACTGATTCTTCAGCCGTTGCCGATCATTGCTACAACTCGGTGGGCTCTCATGAAATTGTCTTTTCCGAGACCAAGGTTCTCTGCAAACCTCCTAGCTACCATCAAAGGTTTGTACACGAAGCCATACAAATATACAAACACAGACATAATTTCAACCGTGATGACGGTTACAAACTGAGTAATCATTGGAAAGATGTGATTAACCATGCAAAAAAGATTTAACTACACTTATTTGCCAATCTTATTTGACAACTATTACAGTTTTACCATGTTTAGTGGTTGTCTCCCTGTCACAGGTTGAGTCACAAACCGTACCTCTCCATAAACAAAGGCTCAGCCTTTGTTATGCAGTCTATTCTTAGTCTTAAGCCTCACCTTACCATATTAATTAAAAGTATGCGGCCCTTGCCCCACCACCTTCTCCAACCATTATATAAACGGAGTGGTAGCTCCTGCAATCTCTCATTTACTTGATACAGCTTTCGTGGCTGTGATGGTACCACCTGGATGGGAGATGACGCATCATATGGAGACACAAATTTCTTAAGACGCGACGGGTGAACATGCCATAGGCGCCTGCCGCAGCGAATTCATACACTCTGGTCCCGACGAGTTTCCACAATTTCAACGGGACCCTGCCAGGGTCGATGGAACTTTGGAGATGAGCCCACTGGCACCATAGGACAGTGCAGCCAAGCCCTATCCCCCACACGCCAGGGCTCTCGCTGAGAATGTGTGCCGTGCAGGCGTTCATTGGCAGCCTGCCGTCTCGCGGTGTTACCCAACGAGGCCTCTCTAGCCTCAGACGGTCTAATACCACCTGCATGGGGGCAGGTACCGCCGATGACTTCCCCCTCACTTGCACGCCCAACCTGACCAGGGCTGGGGCCTCTGGTTCCTGACCGTACATTAAATCGAATGGCGAATACCCCGTTGAGGCGTGCGAAGCCAATCTGTAAGCGGCTAAGGCCGCCGGAACGTATAGGTCCCAATCAGTCTGCGCTAAATTAACCTGTTGGCACAACATAGACGTTAGCATCCTGTGCAGGCGCTCGACCATCCCGTCAGTTTGCGGGTGGTACAGGGACGTCCGAATCTTTTTCGTACCCAGTGAGTCACACACTCCTTTAAGTGGACGGGAGGAAAAAAAATTGCCCTGATCGGTGAGCAGGTGCTCTGGGGCGCCTTTATCGAGGACGTATCCCTGCAGGAAAGCCTCGGCAATCGACCCCACCGATTGGTCCGCCAGTGGCCATGGCATAGGCCACCGAGTGAGGTACTCGAGTCCTACCAGCAAATATTTGTGATCCCGCGGGGTGATGGGGAACGGGCCCAAAATATCCAGGGCAACAATTTCGTTAACACGGAAGACTCGTATCGATTTTAACGGTACCCGATATGGTTGCGCAAGCACCTTCCGCCGCGCACACTCGTGGCAGGACTTAACAAATAGATTAACGTCGTTTTGCATACCCGGCCAATAAAAATAATTGCACAAGGTCAACGCGGTTTTCTTCTCCCCCAAATGCATCAGCTTCTCGTGCGTGTCACGAATGAGCTTGCCCCTCAAACACAACGGAACAACAATAGAGAATTTTTGCAGTATGATGTCCCACCGCACGAGGAGATCGTCGACAAGCCGAAGGAAGGGGTGATCCACCGACCCTCTAAAGCGGGAGGCCCGAAGCTTCATTCTGGACAAAAAGGAATCGTCCACCTGTAGGCGCATCCAACGAGCCAGCGACAACCCCAGTAAGCCGGATCCCTCGGTGGGGACCCCATTAGCTGGGCCCGAATCGGCTGCGGTGGCCCGAGCTGGAACGCCCTGCAGTGGCTCCAGTTTGCTGAATACAATCTTTCTCCAACGGACTCATACGATGGGAATTTAGGCGAATCGGAGGTGCATCTCTAGTCTCTACGTGATGATGCAACGAGGACGTACGACCAACATCATATTTCCCCGAACTGAAAACATCCCTGAATTCCAAAAGTAGTTTGCGGAGACGCAACCGCTGCTCGGGTGTCAAATCGTGGTTTTGCTCGTACAAATCCCGCAACCAGCCCGGTTCTTCGTCACACCGCGGCAGTGCATCCCCCGTCCGAGTTCTGCGCCGCCGCCGCATGCGCTAATGTAGTCCCCTCTTGAATGACAATGGGCTTGTGCCCCGTAGGGACAATCTGTATGAACGGGTCGCAATTTGCTGGCACCATCGTAAAATCCCCAACTAAGAAGGGTGTCTATGACACAGCGTTTGAAGGTGTTAGCAATATACCCTTCAGCGGGTTTTCCAAAGGCAGGCCCTTTTTCAAGCACAGCGGCATAAGCATCTGCGTTACAGGCGGAATGCGCACCGTGCGACTAACCACAGCCTGCACCACGGCGTTTGCTGTTGCAAATTTAGACAATCTGAATTGTTGCGAGCACAACAAACCCGTCTCACTCTCACGCTCCCGTATTTATCCCCGTCCTCATTTATTTCCAATTAATTAACCGGCGTCCCCCAGACGCCCCGCGCCCGCGGCCCCCGCCACCACCTGCTCCCATCCCCAGACTTACTGGCGCCACCTTGTCTCTGACAACAACCGGCCAATCACTGCCCTGCATCCCATTATTACCTAACGAGCCGTCTCTCTCCGGCCGTTGTCCCCCAGCAACACCTGCTTGTCCTGATACGACCCCGCTGTCCATAACCCACACGTGTTTACACTTTCTCTCCTTGGCGCGCGTTAATCCACTACATCATTATCCTTGACACATTATTATCTTTGACCATTATTATTATTACTAATGGCATCATCTAACAGTTTAGATGATGCTATTAGCCTGCGTATATTCCCATACGTTCATCTTTCTGTCTCTCAATGCAAATAGAATCCGATGGCTCTCTCTCGCCTCTAGATGTTTCGGTGTCTATGCGATGTGCACGACGCCATGTGTTTGTGCAACGTCCGCATGAGGGTTTGGGTGAGACGATGGCACAGTGGTGATCACATCAGCTGTTGGTTGATTGCATTTTCTCAGATTTATTCTCGTGGCGATCTAATACAAGCTGGCCACAATGCAGTTCTTCAGGAACTGCTGATTGTTTTAGCAGAATGTACAAAGGCTGAATGATTTTTATACATGTTTGTGGGTTTAGTTAAAAATCTGCATGTTGCGAGTTAAAATCCTGTTTAGGGAGTTGATTGGACCCATCATCCCTTCGGGGTCGATAAAGTGTAGACTACTTCGTGGGAAAGTCAACAGCGGCTACTATGTGGACAGAGGCTCATCCCCGCTATGTGAATGTGGAACTTTCACCGCTGGCTCGGGGCTGTGCGCAGGAGAGGGTCACCACCTCGATGCTCAGTTGAGCCGGAAATAAATTCGACGATTGATGATGCTGATGATGGCAACCAAAATGGATTTGTCAACGTTTGCATCGTTGCTGTTTGTCAGAAACGTTTTATGTGAACTATGTATCGAATGTTTTTGGTGTTGAGACTAAGTCCAAAGTCAAACAGAGAGCGAGGAGAGCAAACAGTGTCGTGGACACACACACTCACGTGGTGCGTGTTTGTCCTGATAGCGCGTCCCGTGTCCCAGCGGTGGTGCCACTGGGTGGGCTCTCTCTCTCCCTCGCTCTCTGTCTCTCTCACTCGCTCTCTCTCACTCTCTCTCGCTCTCACTCTCACTCTCTCTCACTCTCTCTCGCTCTCACTCTCTCGCTCCCTCGCTGACCTGCGCGCAGATCAGATATAGCCGTAGCCCGTGTTTGGGTTTGGTAAATATTTGTTGGCCTTGAGAAAAGTGAAGACACCGCACAAGACAACGCGGCTGGGCCCGCGTGCCCTCTCGGCGTGCGTCGCCTCACACACGGTTCTGTGCGTGAGGACGACGGTCGGCAGCGTGCTGGACTCAATCCCAAGGGGGACCGGTTCGCTTCCATCTCCCGGCACAGCAGTTGAAACAATGCGGGCGAGTTTCTCAAATCCCTCCGCCACCGCGTCTGTCCACCCAGCGGCACAAATTTGGTACCCGCGGTCGATCGGCAGGTCGCGTGTGGTGGGATGAAGAGTGGGGACGCCCAGATCTTGGGATACATCTGGACAGTGTGGTCGAGTGGAGTTGTGTGAGTAGGCACTTTCAGGGCTGCGCTTAATCCTCAAATACACTCGGATTTTGTGCTCTCGATTGTCAGATCAACTCACGGATGTTGGCAGCTATGAAGCCCAGTGCTGATGTTTACAAACCGCACCAGGCACTAACTTAAGGCCGAGTCGACCTAGGGGAGGCCCAGGACGGGTTCAGATAATCGTCACCGGTGTTAACCGTGAGCGGGAATCGAACTCGGGTCGTCGGATTCATAGCGCAGCGCGCTAACCACTACACTACCGCTCCCCCACACACACACGCACGTATGCACGCACGCACGCATGCACACACAGCCAACGTGTTCCTACAGCGGCGCCAGGCGGCGATCGTCCTGGCGCGGGCGCGGCGCGCCAACAGCGGCTGGGAGGAGCTGCGCAAGGGGAACCTGGAGCGCGAGTGCATGGAGGAGCGCTGCAGCTTCGAGGAGGCGCGCGAGGTGTTCGAGAACATCGACGCCACGGTGAGGCGGCCCAACTCGCGCCATCGCCACCGCCCGAGACACCCCAGGGGCGGCGGTGGCCTCCGAGCTGCGGCCCCCGGGCCTCGCGCTGCCCGCGGGTCGTCGTTTTGTGTGCGGAGTCGCGGGCCAAACGTTAAATATTACTCGAAAATTACTCCGTTGGGTTAAACCAGAGAGCGGCATGGCCCCATGTTGTGGACCCACCGCGGACTCTGCAGCCGTCTGTGAAGCACAGCAGAGCCCTCACGGTGAGAACGGCGCGAGCCCGGTCTGTGCTCACACTCGCGTGCCCAGACCTCTCAGGATGCTCGCGGTGATCGTCCCTCGGTGGGGAGGTCATCAGGGTCCGAGCCTGGAAAGTGTTTGGATGCGTGACCGTCAAGCTCACACACACACAGGTGCCATGGGCAGCAGGCCCCGCAATCCGCACCCTGTCCCGCTTCCTCACGCCCCCCCCACCCCCCACACCAAATGATGCCCTTCGCTCTGTGCTTTTTTCCAGAATGACTTCTGGAACAAATACTCGGGTGAGTGACGAACCGCATGGCACAGTTCGGGGACGTGAACGCAAACGCCGCCGGTGACGGTACGCGTGATGGTGGTGGCGTGTCTCGCGTGCCCCAGACGGAGACCAGTGCAGCTCCAACCCGTGCAAGAATAATGGCGTCTGCAAGGACGGGATCAACCAGTACACCTGCGACTGCCTCAGCGGCTACGACGGGAACACCTGCGAAATCTGTACGCGCCACATATCACCGCACCTCGCAAGCAGTTCTGCGATATCAACTTCCGCGGCATCGTGTTTTGCCGCGGGTGACACGACGCAGAATAAACTCGGGAAGCGAGCGACCCATACATATAACACTGGTCAACACACTTTTTCTGGCATAAGGTATTCCAACGGTTTTAATGTAATTTTGGGGTGCTGATTCCAAATCAGGTTTTTGAGATATCAAATATTGCATTTTCAATAAAAACAGCAAATTTATGCTCATATACGAATAGCTAAACAGACATCCATACAAGAATAAGATGAGATGCAATATACAATAATGAAACAAACATTTAATGAGCCGTAGCACAAAGTTGTGAGAGTGACTGCATATCAATGTGAGTGAATGCATATTACCATGTAAGAATAGAATTGTGAAGATAAGAAAATATGTACAAAAAGGTCATTCACAATAGTGATGTTACATCTGCATAAACGACCTCTTCTTTGACGATCTCCGATGTACAGCTTGTGGAATGTCTCTCATCAAGGACCAGCAGTAATCTGCCATCATGTTAGAGTCCCATCGGCCTTGGTAACGTTCTTCCATAACTTTAATGTCTTGATGAAAGCGTTCACCTTGCTCTTCGCTCACGGTTACCCATGTTCTCTGGAAACTGGGCCAAGTGACTATGTAGTGAACCTTGATGTTCATTCTACATCCAAGTGCTTGGAAACTCAAGAGCAGCTCCTCCACAATCTCTCGATAGTTGTCCGCTTTCCTGTTCCCAAGGAAATTCCGCACCACATCAGAGAATGCATTCCAAGCTCTAGCCTCTGCCGCAGTCATTGTTGTAACAAAGTGTGGATCCCTGATGACTATTTCATATTTGAGGGCCATCAAATATTCCTGCCTTTTTCTTCTTGGCACTGAGACTTGAAAAGGTTGAACATATATAGCTGAAGCAGTCTTCAGTGTGATCAACCAGAGGCTCATTCTTGATGTTCCTGTCACCAGGCGTCAAACTGATTATTGGTGGCCAGTTCTTTTTAACCCAGTGTTCTAATGTAGCACTACTGTCCCAGTAGCACAGGAAACAAGGGTATTTGGTGTGACCTCCTTGCTGACCCAGCAGAAAATTAACCATTTTCAAATCAATACAAATTAGCCATCCACGAACATGATATTCCAATCTATCCAGAAGAATCTTGATGTTGGCATACTCTTCATTCATTTTTACAGAGTGTCCTATTGGGATTGAACCATATATTTTTATGTTGTGAAGTAACACATTGCAAACTCCTTTTACTACTGTCAATAAAAAGTCTCCATTCACTTGAATCATATGCGGGCAGTCCCATATTGAGAAGAAGTCCTTCAACATCATTACAATAAACAAGTTGACCATCTGAATGGAAGTACTTTCGCAGTGCTGCTTCTCTGTTACGATAAAAGGAGACACTAGTGCCAGGTCTGAGTAGTCCTTTCTCTTGCAGCCTGGAAGCCAACAATTCAGCAGACTACTTTGGCAAATACAAATCTCTTACAAGATCATTCAATTCAGGCTGACTAAACAGAAATGTTATCACAATCTGCATCAGATGGCGTATATTCGATCTGAGCATCATCATCATCATCTGTAGAAGCAGATAAACTGAGGGATTCAACATCAATCTCTGGTAGCTCAGTAAATACAGCCACAGGTATTTCCTCAGTGTTCAACTGGTCGTCTGGCAGATGGAATATCTGGGTATTGTAAGTGTTGTTTGTTTTTCTTATTGAAACCTTTTACATTGACAAGGCAGAAGTAGCAGTTATCCAAATGGTTTGTAGGTTCTCTCCAAACCATTGGCACACCAAACTTCAGCTTAGCATTTTTTTGTTGACCAGTGCTATCGATGTTCGGGTGAGGCCACGTTGTGAATGATCATAGCTACCCGACGCGGCTGATCGCAGTCAACCATCGCGCGTGCCGGTGTTCGACGACACGCCGACCGATTGTCGCTCCGGCTCGCTCACCGGTAAAAGTTGAAGAGCGATTCCCACGAAACCATCAGAGATGCGAATTAAGACGAAAGTGAGGGTGAAGCAAACAAGCGAAATGACGCCCCCCCCCCCCTGCCGCTGTGCAGCCAAGCTGGGCTGCACCTTCCGTAACGGCGGCTGCGAGCACTTCTGCCAGGGCTCGGACGAGCAGTTCTCCTGCTCCTGCGCCAAGGACTACAAACTGCTCGACGATGGCAAGTCCTGCCGGCCTATGGGTAACGAACCCCGCCAGCCGCCCGCTGCCATGTGCGGGAAAAGCGGGGGCGGCTTACAGTCGATGTTCGGGTTTTGGCCACTCAATGAGCTGGCCACATTTGCGTCGGGAGACCCTCTACCACCCAACTAGGCCAAACAAATGGGATTGAGTCGTGCGTGCACCTGCATTTAACGTCAAGTTATGAACTGACAAGGATATGTGTTTAGCTTATCGACTTCATAAAATATATAGATTTAGTTTAGATTGTAAGGTCAGGGTTTGTTTTTATCACAATTGATGAGCACAATAGGCCATAGGGCCCAAAACATCAAGCGGTCAGCAACAAACAGCACTGCCAAAGTTGTCAGAATCATTATTTAGACTGCAGGAGGAATCTGCAGCAAAACGACACCAATAGTCCCAGACCACACCAAGACAACACAGAGTTCCTCAATAAAACTACACATTAAAATGTAACCATCGATATACAGTTAAGAATCAAAGTTACAAATCACACCATCAAATGTGGTCGTATCCAGCACTAATCTTCTGCTTGATTTTATGTTTTGAAGGAAGATTTACGATGTTCAGGGAGGAAACCAAGTTGTTGTTGTTCCAATGTATTGGTGTCACCAATTCTAATTACTGCTCTTGGGAAAGGTAAAAGGCAATTAGATGGACGTTTTAGGTTTCTTGAGTTTGACAATGAGGTTAATGAATTAGCCAAGTATAGTACATATTTTCCAATAATGACTTTATGACTGAACAGGGCCCGATGTAGATTTGTTCCTGCAGCAAGTCACGTGGGATTGAATTTTAAGTAGAGGTCACAATGGTGGGTCCTGAAAATAATTAACAGTGTAACGGGTTTATTGAATCGATAAGAGCGAGGTTATTACAGTATTATTATAGGAGCTTTGGGAAGAGACGCTGATGGTAGGAGGTAATTCCAATGTGGAGAGCGGTGGTATGGAGTAAGATGATTGTTGTGACCTGCAGTGTCATGGATGTGTGGGTGCGTGAGTGGGCGAGTGTGTTATTGTGATCTACAGTGTGGTGATGGCACAGTGTGGTGGGTGAGATGTCTGATCGAGCGCGTCCTCAACATCGCTGTAGAGATCAATTGGTGAAGTTCACGGGAACAGGAACCATGGTCGTAGCGATTTTACTCCTCTAGTCGATACTTGCTATGATGTCAGCAGCAATGTCTTCAGGAGCTCGATGTCGATGTCTGCTCTCCATGACAAGAGGGCTTCAGGGGAGAGTTTTGGTAGTTTTGCTTCTCCGTTTAAGGAGCGCAGACTTCAGCGGTTCACTATATGGTCCATAATTTGGGTTGCATGGCCGCAACATCTTGACTTGGGGAGGTATTGAAGGTTGCTCTTGGAATTAATCGGTTTGGGTTGGCCAGACGTCAAACCTCGGTGAACGTGTCTCACGTTCATTTGTGGGGGGGCACCGGCATGGTGCTTGTGGGGTGTGGGGGGCAGTGCCCTTCCCGTGTGGCAGAATCCAGGTTCAGAAGCCTCGGTCGAAGCGAGAGGCTTCATCCGTCACAGTGGAGACGCCGGTCCAACCCGTGCCCCCTCACTCCACGGTGTCCGACAACAGCAGCTACATTGCAGAGGGGTCCGAGGGGGACTTGCGCATCGCGGGGGGAGAAGAATGCCCCCTCGGGGAGTGTCCCTGGCAGGTACACAACAGCAGCAGCAGACACTGCAGCATCAGCAACAGCAGATAGTACACCGTGGGGTTAAACTCTGCAGCTCCAATGCATATGGAAAGGGCGCTAAGTGGCGGACCTGATTTAACAAAAATGCTCCCCGGGTCTCAGGCTCGTTGGCTCAAGTAGCGCACCCGACTCTCACTGGCAGGGGGAGCCGACGTCGGGCGCACAATCTGATTGGAAGGTGGAGAACCATTAAAATCTGATTGGTCATCAGAGTCAATTGAAAGATGCAAATGAGGCGTCAGTTGGGATGCCATTCGGACAAACGAAAGGGATTGGTGGAGAGTCAGGGGGAGTCCTGCAAGGGACGGGGAGAGAGGAGCAGAGGGGAGAGGCTCGGGTGGTGTCTGAACGGAGTGAATCCCTGAAGCGCGATGCGCTGCACTGAAGACGGACTAAAGTCCGCTTGCAAGACTCACCCGGTCTGGAACTCCTTTACACGTAAATAAAAACAATTCAAAGTGACTTGCTGAGCTTCAGGTGTTTACAGCCATGAGCCAGTGTTGGAAATTCCACATTCCTATGGCAGATATTAATCTGTCCATAGATCAATCACGATCGACTTCTCCATAAAGTGGTACTCTTTTATCAACCCTAGAGGGATGATGGAGTTGAATCAACCCCCAACTAAAATTTTTACTCACCACCGATCTGCTGGATCAAATTCAAGACGTTCCATTGAAAATCTAGGGGAACACAAGCGCCCTGCATCACGTGACCTTGCCAAGCGTTCTGGCACAGCCCATGGGGTCGAGGCTCCCTCATCGTCTTGCCCTCGCCTCTGTTCCCAGGTTCTGATTCTGGACAAGAAGGGTGAAGGCATTTGTGGCGGAACCATCCTCAACCGGGAGTGGGTCCTGACGGCCGCCCACTGCATCCCATACGAGCCCGACATCGTCATCGTCGGTGAGTCGCCCTGCATCACGTCTCGTCCAAACCAAGAGCAGGTTCAGTGGCTTCACTCGCGACTTCTAAAGAATGTCGGTGGGCCAGGGCTGATCGCTACAAGGGGGTGATGGCCGATGGTCAATAATTACGAAGGAGTGGAAGCCGTCGATGAGGACGAATGGGGTGCGTCCGGAGAGCACGTCCGCGCATGGAGGTGGAGTGATGAAATCCGGCGGCGTGGCCGCGCCGTAGGATTGCTTGGGCACGGCGACGGCTTTGGGAGTTGCCGACGTTGGGCTGCAATGTTGGCAGCGGTCTTGACCAGGGACCGCCATGCAAGAGGTCTGGAACCGCAGCACTACATCGTCCAATTGGCTGCTTACATGCCCCCCCACCCCTCTCCCTCCCCGTCCCTAGGTGAGCACAACCGCACGGTGTCCGAGCCCACGGAACAGAAGATATCCATCAAGCAGATGGTGATGCACAACCGCTTTAGCATCGCTACCAACGACAACGACATCGCGCTGCTGCAGATGAGCGAGCCCATCAAGTTCAACAAGTACGTGCTGCCCGCCTGCCTGCCCGAGCCGGACTTTGCGGACAACGTGCTCAAGGAGGAGCTGGCTCGCATCAGCGGCTGGGGTATCCTGGGCAAGCGCAGGTTAAAGGTACCGTGACCTCTTCCCACCCACCTCCACCTTCCACCCACCCATTTGACACATGTCCTCGTCTATATACAAAATGGCCCTGAATGCATGTGAATATTTGGCCGATTCAGCTATCAAGAAATGCATTTTATGTAATATTGACTTGTGTTTGTCCACTATTTTTTCATTCTTCTGTAATGCAATTCTTTTTTCTCCAATTTATATTTGGATGTGCATCCCCGCCCGTCCCCGTGCACAGGCCGAAGTGCTGCAGACGTCCTTTGTACCGTACCAGGACATGGCACGGTGCAAGGAATCGAGCAGCTACACCATCACCAAGAACATGTTTTGCGCCGGCTACAGCGACTCGAAGACGGACGCGTGCCAGGGCGACAGCGGCGGCCCCCACGTCACGCCCTATGCCAACACGTGGTTCTCCACCGGCATCATCAGCTGGGGCGAGGGCTGCAACCGCAAGGGAAAGTTCGGGATCTACGCCCGCGTCTCACGCTATTTGCCCTGGATCGACACGGTGATGAAGAACTACAGCGTCTACAAGGACGAAATCCCCACCGCTGGGCGCAATCTCCGGCGTAGCCGCCAGAACTGAGCACAGGCGCCGGCAGATGATCGGGGAGGTCGGGGGTGGGGGTGGGGGGACAAAAACGATGCCACAATGGGAGAGTTCGGGAGTGGAAAATGGTGGGGATACGTTTGAGAAATAATCCACAAGGTGCACGAAGTTGAGTATGGGTTTTAGTTGCAGTATACTGTTGTGTTGATTTAAGGGTGTCTTGAAAGGATGAACTTGATAACCCACAACTCCTTGGAGGAATGAGGGTCTTGTTGACAGTAGGAGGACTGAGTGAATGGAATGCGTGAATGGTTAAGTTTGCTGTGTGGCCATCTGTGGGCGCACGATACTCTGACGATCACGCGTGCGTCGTCAAGGGTTCCAACGAAAGCCAGTGTGGGCCGTGACTAATGCTGGGCTCTTCGATCGTTCAACTAATCGATTACTTGCAAACAAGATTCTCACCTCCATTGTCACGTGTGCCACCGGGCGATGGGCGGGGCTTGGTGGTGGGCGATGGGCGGGGCTTGTTGATGTCATCGGCGTAAACTGGCCGCCTCACGCTGGGCGTGCCTCCAAAGTGGGTTTTCCCCACTTTGGGAGCCTGCAGCTTATGGGGGCGGCCTGCCATTTAAAAGAGGCCCGAGTACCGTATTTTCCCGCATATAACCCGTGGGGTATACCAATTTTACAAATGAAACAAGACCCTACGGGGTATAAGGAGGTGCGGGCTATCCCAAAAGTATTTTACACGTGTGACATGTCATAACTCGTTTAATGTTTTCATGGTAGGACTATCCACTATGCAACACTTACCTTTGACTGAAGCACTGCTGAATAAACCACTCACACTAATATTGCACACGTTATCACGTTTTAAATTATTCCAATTGTTTGTACAATGAAACGACACTGTTTGAAGTGGACGAGCTTTGTTTACTGGCGACAGGAGAGCTGGGGGGAGGGAGAGGTGGGGGGGTTGGGGGTGGGGCAGCTGGGGGGAGAGAGAGGTGGGGGGTGGGGCAGAGCAAGGTCTGAGGTGGCGACGGGAGAGCTGGGTGAAGCAGCAAGCACCTGGATTCAGTTCCTTACGTAGATGCCACTCTGTGCGGAGTTTGTATTCTCTCCCTCTGTTCTGCAAGGGTTTCCTCCGGGTGTCCTGGTTTCCTCCCATAGCTAAATTAATGACACATTGTAACCGATATTGAATGAAACACCCCAGTGCTGAAACATTACCTGCAAATAACTCACTTGGGATCACACAGCCGTCGTAACAGCAGGATCAGCAGCATCATCCCCTACTCCGAAGAGGTGGCAGGGCCCTCTTAAAAACGAGCTGTGACCGAGCGAGGCTCTCCGGGGTGACCCAGAGGGGTGACAATGACCGCAGTCTTCCCATGCTGCCCGGCACGCCACGCGGCATCACCGCCACGTGCCGCCGCTCGAGCCGCCAACTCGAAATGGTCACAGTTGTCGCTACGTAATTTTTGGACGGCTGCGGCATTCGTCAAGGAGACAACTGTACACCGGTTTCATCCTTGTGTTGAAAAGTCCCCGACGACTCACTCGGAGACGGCTTGACGGTTAAGGGCTTTCACCGTAAGTTTACTAAAGATATAACAATACACGAGAGTTAGGGGTCCCGGGCTAGGTCCCACTGGGTCCCGACACAGCTGGCTGCCCTGTGCCGTCTCCTCTGCGCCGGCCGTGGGATCAGCCAACACGGCCGCCCGAGGAGCACAGCCACTTTAAAGCTTTCGTGACTGCAGGGATTCATCTTCTTGGTTCTTTCGGTAAAGTCACGTAGAAGGGAAGTAATAAAATAATAAAAATAAAACATAATAAAACAATTCTCACGACTGGTGATCGGCTGCTTGCGTTGTGGCCGAAACGTCGTGAGAATTGTTTTATTATGTTTTATTTTTATTATTTTATTACTTCCCTTCTACGTGACTTTACCGAAAGAACCAAGAAGATGAGCACAGCCACGTCCAGCCCTGGCACTGTGCTATTCCCTATCCCTACCCTCTTGACCCTGGCTCCCCGTTCCACCCTCTTCCGACCCTAGACTCCAGCTATGACCCCGCTTACGTCACAGGGTTCCCCCTTTATACTAGAGGAGCTGTGATGTCATTGTGCCGCCTAGAGCGCATGACACCACGTCCCGTGACGTCATCGCACTGGACAGCACACATGACGCCACTTCCCTATTCTACTCCTCTACACGTGTTAGGCATCACCAGCATGGCATGAGCCATCGTGGCCTATTGCTGCCTCGTGCCACAGGGCGTCTGTGTTGATGAGCCGTCGCCGATCACCAGTGGGGAAAAACGCAACGCATTCATCGACGACATTGCTGTAAAAAATAAAAAACCTATACATGACATGTAAAAGATGACGTTTCGGGCAATGATCCTTGTTCATATGTGCTCTGTCGAAGGGCCATTTCCCTGGCCACAACTTAACTCATCGTCTTTTCAATAACTGCCTCTCATAGTTTCTTTTAGGGTCACAATGTAGCGATTGTTGAAAGTGTGGAGGGGTTTTTTGTTAGTTGTGTTTGTGCACCGCTGCCACAAAAACAGCAACAACAGCGAGCATCATCAGAGACGTCCCTTCTCTAACTGTGGGCACAGTTTTCCAGTGCCCACGCGTGGCGATAAACGAGCCCCAACACTGCCTGTGTAAACGATGATAAGGCGCACACACTCACCAAACCCAGCTCGGTGCATCTGTGGGACGGGAGCTGTCACCGGAGCAACCACCACGGCCCTGTGCAGGAACGTGGAGGGCTCTCCCCGGCCACGCGTCCGTCCCCACGCTGCCCCCACCCCCACTGCCACACGCACAGTACAGGAGCTCACCAGACACACACGCACAGTACAGGAGCTTACCAGACACACACACACAGTACAGTAGATTACCAGAGACAAACACAGTACAGGAGCTCACCAGACAGACACACACAGTACAGGAGCTTACCAGTCACACACACACAGTACAGGAGCTTACCAGACACACACACACACAGTACAGGAGCTTACCAGTCACACACACACACAGTGCAGGAGCTTACCAGAGACACAGTACAGGAGCTCACCAGACACACACGCACAGTACAGGAGCTTACCATACACACACACACACAGTACAGGAACTTACCAGTCACACACAGTACAGGAGCTTACCAGAGCAAGTGTAATAAAGCTCGTTGAGACGACTTCTGGAATCCGTCTTTTATTCAACTTGTGTTAGTTACTTCACGCCGCTCATAGGCAGCGTGAGAGGGACAGATAAACAGAGAACGATGCACTGCCACGTGGCAAGTCGGAGCCCCGCTCCCGCGTGGCCCCCTTCCTCTGTTAGTTCCTGTTCTGACCACGTGTCGTTCGTCTCCACCCCTATTTAATACCCGGGTCACGTGGTACGTTTCCGCCAATCCTCGTTAGCCTGCATGGAATCTTCCAGGCTCCCTCGTCAGCTCCCGGGACCACGCCCCTGACTCATCTCCCCATTGGCTGTGGCCAAAACCAGCAGAACCAATCCTTATAGCTGTCACCTTTCCATCACGTCAGGACCATGCCCCCAGGCTTCCCCCCATTGGCTGTAAACCAGGACCGGCAGAGCCAATCACCATGACGAGTTGTGATACGTCAGTGAGCCGGATATATCCTCATATTACACAAGTTTAATCGATAGGCAGGTCGGGTGTGGTGGGGTACAGTGTGGATTACTTCTCACCTCTTCTGAGATGTCTAGCCAGCGTGAAAGAGTAGACCAAGAGCAATGGGTCACGGGGCTCTTTCGAGTTCCCTCCCATGGGAAGGCACCGTCCAGCAGCAGTGACGTGAGCAGGTGCTTGCAGGGCTGCACCCTGATCGAGTCACTGTCGACGTGACAGCGACCCGTCGCTTGGCGGCACTAACAAAGTACACGCGAATGTTACTTTCGGCAAGCGGAGCTTCGTGGCGGAACCAATGAGAGGAGGCAACACAACTATCACCGTCATCGGTGGTGGACGGTCACGTGCCCAATAGGAGTCCAAACATTCGCATCTGGTCAACAGTTTGACATTTTATTGCATTATTTTCAAGTTATCGCAGAACAGATATAAAATATATACGCATGTGCACGGGGTAAAAGTAATCAACATTCAATGGACTTTCACGGACAAACTTATACAATTCCTTCATATCGTTGACAAAGTCTCTTAATTATTTTACACAAGACACTTCTATTTTGTAAAAACTATAGCTGGGGTAGAACTAAACAGATGATGCACCACAAGGGCAGTTCAACAATGGACTTTCACTTTGAAGGACTCCTTAAGTATTTGGCTTTTGGAACATGTTTTGATTGTATTGCTTATTGTATAACGAATACAAAAGTACCACAAACCCGCCACGCCAGTGCAATTTGTTACACGTAGAGCTCCCGTACGCGTGCTTTGAACGTATAAATAAAATAACGATATTTAGAACAGGTTTTTTGGGGGGGGGAGGGGTGTAAATGTATAAATATATATCAGGTGCAAAGGAAGGTAAGCCACTTAGCCTCGGCAGGAAATCAACAACAACGCAGAGAGGTTTAAAATGCAATGGGATCTGTCCACATGCGAGTGAGCACCGCTGTAGTTGGGCAACAACAAATGACGCAACAAGAAAACAACGGCAAGCAGAGTTCACGAACGTGGAGCTCGTGATGAAAGAGGTCACCCCGGATCGCTGAGCGGGTCGATGCTGGAAAGTGAGTCCGTCGCCACTTTTCCATATATAAGCGATTTAGTTGCATGCAACAGCGTTGCGCAAATTATCGCCCAGGTGTGGATCCGGCTGAACAACTCTGAGACTCAGGAGACGGCGCAACAATGTCAAACAACGTGCCTGTACGTTAAACTTCTTTCTCACCGTACGTAGCCAACTGTGCGAATCGGAGGTCTACGTACGCACAGGAAACAGAACGCATCATGCAGATTCAAGCGCGGCTTCAAAGACAGGAGCATGAATATTTGAGATAAGCAGCGCTGGTACAACATAGGAGGTACAACCCGGAGCACCCCGGTGTGAACAGCGTCAGGTGTGGACTTCGGGGTCAACAAAACGAGTCCCAACGTCCTCACACGCAGGCATCCTGGAGCTCGATCAGAGAGCACAACCATGCCGCCTTGCGACAGGCCACACCTGTCCACGATTGGTCTAACACAAGGACATTCTATCGGGCAGCTGACACAGTCCAGGCGTGTGACTCACAATTGCAAAAGTTGAATTTCACGTTGCAAGGTCTCAGCCAGAATAATGTGGAATTTCCACTGCCAACCTCGGGGTGCCAAAAGAGCCAAGCGCTGTCCCGGGCACCCGATTGGCTGTGGCATTTGGGAGGCATCGCACCCAGCCGCCAACAACGCCGCTACCAAACTACGGCGCACCACATCCAGTACCGCCTCCCGCAGTCTCCCTCTCACTGCCTGCCTGTTATTGGCTACGAGTCAAGTGCCACCAACTCCAGCCTACAAGCAACCCAGAACATATTTAGTGAGACATTAAGCCCCGGATGTCATAGACTGAAATGACAAAGATGCCAAGGAGGCGAGGCGATGGACAGACAAGAGCGGAAGGATGTAAAGATGAGGGAGTGAGCGATGCGAAAAAGAGGCCGGTGTTTGACTCCAGCTGGCACCCATCGCTCAGAAGAGACCACAGCAGAAGAGGGACGCATGCAAACGTCGTCCATGAGGCTGAAGGGAAGATGGGAGAACAGACATCCATACAAGAGAGAACAGCATCAACATGGGTCCATGACGAGCCATGGCAAACACCGACACTTCACAACATCCGCACTCAACTGTCCACACTTTTGCAGGTAGGGAATTATTTCTCTGCGGTAGGCTGCAAATGTTTGGATCCCAGGCTGCATTTTGTTCATATTCTCAAAATTGTAATTGCCCACAAGCAAATTACCGAAAATGCACCCGATCTCATCAGACCTCTGAAGCTGAGGAGGGTTGACCCTGGATAGTACTTGGATGGGTGACTACTGTGTGCATAAACAGTTGTTATAGACTGCTGCAGAAATACGTGGTGGGCCACAGACAGTAGTTCAGCAACACTCACGGTTGTCCAAGAGGTTGTTTGGGGTAGATCGCATACAAAAGTGTCGTTAAACCGACAGCCAATTTGTCAATTCGTTACTAGTACAACGCACTGGTGTGTTGGAGAGTAAATCCATTGTAAATGTTGCGGGTTAAACCTTACTAATTTAATGCGTCATGCGGTGGCGGGTTTAACGACACATTTATATTTACGCGATCTAACCCAAAACACCCTATAATTATGGATATTGGTCACGAAAACATACGTGTAAAATTCACTGTTGTATCGTACTTCTATGCTCCCATGTCTATGTTTCCCGCCTTCATCAATCCACACCGAGCAGCATGGTGAAGTATGGTCAAATACACTCAACAGCCACAGCGTGAGGGGGGGGCTCACCCCGCAGTGGATTCACAAATGGGCTCCACATGATCCAGTGATCAGACTGAACACGACTGCCAGCAGACAGCGCGTGTGTGCTCAGCGCCATGCTGCTAGGCGCCTCGTGCTGAAAATGAAGGCGATTCTCCTCCCGGTATTTTGAGGCTTCTCGTGTGGAATGGAGCGGGGGGTGCAACGCAACGACTGCTTGTACGAAACGACTCAATGGTTCAGTGTGCCCCTGTTGGTTGACCTTTCATCCGGGCAAAAACGGAAAGGTCTTTGTGACTTTCAGGAGAGTGCTGCTACATAGCGATGTTTGGCCACTTCTGTTTGGCAACGTTTAATTTCATGCGGGAGGAGAAAAGGAGAACCCAGAGAAGGTCCATGCTTATGAAACTCCCAAAGCTCTGCACAGATAGATTTAAGAACGTATTGGTGGACCGATATATCTTGGCCACATGGCAGCCCAGGCCTACAACAGCTGGCATTCTAAAGGGGTCTCCCACCCAAGTTTTAACCAGGTTTATTTTTGCTTAGCTTCCAAAAATCTGGCGAGACCGGGCACATTCAGGGTGATTTGGTTGTGGCATATGAAGAGGGGGACGGTGTGTGGTTTAGTCAGGGACTGAGGCGGTTCAGGGTGTTTGTGACAAGGCAGTATCAACTCTGGCAGAGTGGTTGGCTCTGTGTGCGAGTTCTGTGTAATGCTCACGAATTATTAATTCGAAGAAAATCAGTGGCTCTAAAGTTGTTAACAGCACCACCAATTCCAAACCCAATGCAATCCGCTCTGCTGCCACGTTTTCTAATTTAAGTTTGCCGTCCTGTCTATGAAATGGTCAGGGCTGTATGAAATGGAGTGGTCCTCTGTTTTTTCCCCGCAAGGCGGATGTTCGCACACGGAGGGGACTACTCACGACTCGAGCGCTACCGGATAGCTCCGGTACCGCGGCTAGGGTTGCCACCTGTCCTGGTTATCTTGGGATTTAGTTTGCTGCGTAAAGAAACTCGCGATACACCACTCAAGACAACGCCCGATTGCAGTACTGGGCGACATTCTCTTGCGCTTCCCAGGACACGTCCTGGTTGTTTGTACCTTGGGGGTGGCAACCCTCGTCACGGTGCCACTGCGACACCACCGGGCCGCACAAAAGACACGGGGGGGGGGGGGGGCGTCACAGATCAGAGGCGAAAAACCAAAACGCTTCCCCCTCCCAGAGGCGGCTGCGGAAACCCCCAACCGCGAGAGTTTGCGCGCCGGTTCTAAGGCCAAAGGCGCACGCCGCTTCTTCCAGTGTGACGCTGACGAGTGACGGAGCCGCCCCTTCGTTTGGCCGGGGCGTCTCAAGAGAACGTTTACAAGCTACAGAATTCAGAATCGTTATTTATCCTCGAAGAATCCGACGAGCTATGAAGCTTTTCACATATGTCCAGACTTGCATCTCGTCTCATCTAAAATATTTGAAAGGGCACCTCCAGTGGCAGCTGTCCCTGTGTGGCACATGGCGACTCAGCGCCGAGCCAATAATCACCGGGCAATCGTCTCCCAGTCGAGTCCCTCGTTGCGCCACACGCGGACTGCTGTTTGCAAAATCCTGTCATGGGCCGTTCTACAAAACCTGGCGCAGACATTCCCTCAAATCCTACTGGAGCGGGGTTCATTCCTCAAGGTAAGTAAAATCAGTGCAGCGTACCACAGATAAGACAACGGCGAACATAAACCGTAATACATTAACAATAAAAAGTGTAAAGTAATATTTTGCCATCTAAATTAAATATAACCCCGTTAAAGCATTACTCGCGAAAAATGTGGCATTTCAATATATGGCAAAGTCGTTGTGACGTCAGCAGTTAAACACGCAATTGAAGGATGTTACTGAAATAATAAAGCGCTGTTGTTTTACGTTTAGTTCACACAACCAGGTGCTGGCATCCTGGGCTGTATTTGAAGCGCTATCACATGAGACGAGGTGCCGCCCATTGATGGCGAGGCCTTAGAATTAGGTGCCTGCCCATAGACTCGCACGTCTTCCTTCTCATGAACAAAACTTCAAACCCATGTCAGACAGTCCGGACAATGCAGCCTCGGTATCTGGAGCGTAGTGGTCATTTAAATAACCAGGTGAACACTCCTGCAGACCACAAGTGCATTATGCAAGAGACAATTGGATCTGGTTTTCTGGTGCGGTATTCCTTCAACATCCGACGACTACAATCCCAGAGAAGTGACATCAGCCAGGGGACACGAAGTCTCCCACTGTTGCTCCCCCCACCCCTCCACCACATGGCAACACAAGAAGCTGCCACAGCCGTACATCGTCTACCCTCAAGAGACTTACAGCCGCAGAGCAGGAGGGCTCAACGCCGCCGCTCGCTACACCGCGTTCCGGGGGGCCGCCTCGGGAACCCCCAAAGTCCATCTGCTGCTGCCGCCGCTGCTGCAAGAAGGCACAGCCACGGGTCACCCATCCGTGGGAGGGGCGAACGCTGGGTGGGAGGGAGGAACTCGGGTGTGGGAGGGGCTTACGAGCTGTGGGGAGGGGCTAATGCTGGGTGGGAGGGACTCGGGTGTGGGAGGGGCTTACGAGCTGTGGGGCGGGGCTAAGGCTGGGTGGGAGGGACTCGGGTGTGGGAGGGGCTTACGAGCTGTGGGGCGGGGCTAAGGCTGGGTGGGAGGGACTCGGGTGTGGGAGGGGCTTAGGAGCTGTGGGGAGGGGCTCGGAAGCTCGAGAGGAGGGGAGTTGGGGCCGTGGTGCAGCTGACGAGGAGTCTGGTCTGGTGGTTCAAGCCTCCAGCGGGGACGAGTGCAGGAGAACCTCGGAGAGAGCACATGACTCCCCGTCGTTGTGTCTTTATTGGCTGGGCTGGGGTCTGATCGGGGCCAGGGGGGTCGACCCTCGAGATTCAGACGGAGTCAACGGGGCTCGAAGGACACGGGACAAGCGTGGCGAGAGAGGCGCTTTTAGGGGTTAAAGGTGCAGGGTTTGGAGGAGGCGACGTCACCCACAAGGGCAAGTGGGGCCTACAAAAGGCGTTAAGGATTGAAGAGTGCACTTTCACAAAGGCGATGACTTCAGTTGTAAATAAATCCACATATCTCGCAAACAATAAATGACATTGGGCGCACATATTCTCAGCGAACCCTGTAAACCGTGGCGAACGCCAACGAGCGCACGGTCTGGCCGGGACTGGCGGGGAAAGCAGCCCCGCTGCACACCTCCTCCTCCTGGAGCGGTGGGCGGCGGCCAGCCCCATGGAACGACCGGCACTTGAGAAGGCCTTGGATCCAGCAGTGGATTTGACAATGCTGAAAAGTATTGTTTGGTTTATACGTTTTGTTGTCCTTCCCCTGCACCTCCAATTAGCATTGTTGGCTACGTACGGTGCAAAGAAGTTCAACATACATAAATATGACTGAGCCCTATTTGTCAACATACTTTCAGGAACCTGATTTACTTGACCCCAAGCAGCCCAAACATTAAGTGGCTAGCCCTACAAATTAATCCTGGTGTATGAATGACTGATCCCAGAGGCACTGTGGGCTACATGAGGACACAGTTGAAACGTTTTTTAAACAAAAGCACGAGCAGCAGTGCAGAGCCGTGAATTTGGGCGGCAAGGCCTTTTGGGAACCATACCAGAGAGGGCAACGTTCTGCGCTAGTGAACACAAGTTGCATCAGCTGCACAGTTCCCCAGTCCTACCTCAGCGACAATTCAAACCGGCCATCGACAGACCCAACATGTTTCGGCTCACTCAGAACACTAAAGTTAAACAAAGGCTTCTTTAGGCCCAACTGCAAGAGGTATTAAGTAGTGCCCCCTCCGTCATTAAGCCTCGAGTCTGAGAGCCGGCAGTGAGCAGGGCTGGAGTGGAGGCCGTGGGACGAGCCGGGCGTGGCGACGCCACGACTCGCTCTGGGGCTCCGGTCAGTCTCAGGTTCGGGTCGGCGCACGAGGCGCCGTGGTCATCCCAGCGGCTAGACTCGGCTTCACGGTGGCCAGGGGGGGTCCGGGGTGGGGGGGGTGGAAATTGAGGTGAATGGACGGGGCCCCGCGTCGTCACACTTGAGTCACGTCCGACAGGACCTCTGCGTCCACCAGGAACACGTGCCCGTTGTCTAGCGACGCCGCCGCCGCCGCAGCCGCCATGCCGGACCTGGAGGTCGGCGAGCGCTTGCCTCTCCCTCCTGCTCCTCCCGAAGCGCCGCCTCCCGCGCCGTACATTCTCCTGCGGAGGTGTCGCGCCATCTCGGCGAGTGGCGTGCTCTCAGAGACGCCGGCCCCGCGGCGCCCCACGCTCACGGCCTCCTGCAGGGGGCACCGGGGTGGCGATGGCGCAAGGGGGCGACGATGGGTGGGTGGGGCGGCGATGGGTGAGCGGGGTGGTGGCGAGAGTGGCGTGTGACGGTGCGCCAGGGGTGGTGATGGTAAGTGAGCAGAGTGGTTACGGTGCAGATCGAGTGGTGACGATTGGTGGGATCGATTGAGAGATTGAACGATGGTGCATGGTAATCAGTTACGGTGTGTGGTGTTGGATTATGGTGTTGAATGATGGTGGTGTTGAATGCTGGTGGTGTTGAGTGACGGCGATGTTGAGTGACGGCGTCAGACAGTGGCGAGGTTGCGGCACGAAGGAGACGGTTTGAAAAGCACCGTGGGAATTGGGAGGTCACGAGTGGGCGGGTGGGTGGGTGGGGGGAGAGAGCAGACACAGCGAGGTCAGTGTCATGGCCTGCCTTGGCTCACACACAGAGACCTACCCGGGCACTTTGTCCACACGAGACACTCAACAGACAGCCAAGTTCATATGTAAGTTGTGTCCACTAAACGGCTGGGAAAACAATTATTTACAGAGTGAAGCCACAGCGCGCGTGTACGGCACGTACGCATCTGTCATCGCCCTCTACGGGCGTTAATATTCTACGTTCCCACAGAGACCTTGCCTTTAAACACATTCTCTATTTGCCACGTTAACCTCTCTGCTACCAATGACGCAACGACACGGGAATTACACTCTTAGCAGTGCTGCCATGCAAGCATGTCTGAACTCCTGTACACAGAGACACATTGTAACTGTGCTCGTGAGCAATAGTCAAAAGGTTTTGATATTTTACAAAAATGAATTAGCATTGTTCGTCTTATTATTTTATACTTCATGGGACCTCCTTTGCCACTACCAAAATATAAACCACATTAACCGTTCACATCAATACAAAGTTAATCAACACCACCTGACTCTTAACATAAAACCAATTTCAGCGACCCTCGCGCATCGTCACGACCAGCAAACCATGCAGACAGCGGAAAGAGAGCGCGCGTTAGTTCTGTAGCACAGAGCAAGCACACGACAAACTTACTTAAACAGATGCAGGGCCCATGCAATACCCACACACGAGCGCACACAGCCCGTGAGCTAAGGGGGTTGTGGTTGGTCCCACCAGGAGTGGCCAATGCTACCAGCATCCACCATGGTGGGCAAGGTCCACCATGGGCGGAGGGCTGACACTCCATCTTTTTATATATGCACTTCCTCTATGTTCATATTCCACAGTTCCATATCACAGTGGCTTTTTTTCAAAATTATATTCTCGATCAAACAAATTAAGGCATCCTTCTTTAATGATCTTTTTCTCATAAAAAGCTACCACGGTGCCCTTGCTATCAGACACCTGTGTGTCACAGAGCTCAAATGCTTTGTGAAAATCCCTGGGAGCATCTCCCACCCTGGCTGGTACCGATTGCCCATTTTCAGGCCAATGGCTCAAGGACCCAACCGACCCCCCACCCTACCGCCATGCTCATGCTTCAAAGGCATTCCCATGCAAGAGTCCTCCAGCAAAGGCAGCGAGTGTCCCAAGCCCACCCAGCACAAAGGCGACAGAACAGTGGAGCGACAAAAACTCCACTCCTTTGTCTGAGCACACCCGGCCCGCGGCTCAACATGAGCCAATCAGACGCGCGCGCTGCTCTACGTTTTGAAATCAGGCTCTGGGTCCAGAGATTCATTTCCTACTGAATATTTCACAGGACGTTTTTCGAAAATGGCATAGGTGGTACATGAATGGCGGTAGCCACAGCCCAAGCGAGAGGTGGTAAACAGGATGTAGTGTGCCAGGTGCGGAAATAGTTTCTGGATCACTGGTAGACTGGAGTGGGTGGCACATTGCGTGGGTAAAAAAAAAATCACCAAATCGCTGCGGGGGGTAGTGAACTGTTACACCGATACTCATTTTATTAATCCCCACAAGGATGATGAGCCGAGTTTAACCCAGGTAGGGGTTGGAACTCGCGAACTTCAGGTTGAGAGTCAAGTTCTCCAGCCAGTCACTCTTATCCACTCTGCTGGTGGGACCATGGTGAGAAAACAAGTGAGAGAAACGGACCGGGTGCCATTGCTGTTATACATCTCCTCCTGCGTTGCAGTCGAGGGTTCTTCATTAATTTATGGGTTTCCTTCTATCTTCGGTTTCTCACTCTACGCAATGTCTAGTTTCGCATTTATGTAATTTGGTAATTGTCAGTTCAGATGCAATCTTTTCTACGAAAATTAAACTGGATTCCAATTATTTCCTGTGTCCAGTGGCACAAAGGCATTGGTAATGATCCCCACCCGTTCTCCATTCAGGTTTGTGTAGCAGCCCGGTGACACTGCCAGTGTTTGTCTCGGTTCAGTTTCACTGGAATCGCTGCGTTTCACACGAGGCTCATTTTGCCACCAGTGAACATCAGGCATGCGGGCGTAGTGATCTCTGCGCGTCCACTCCCAGCACAGGACTCCGATGTAAACTTCATCATCAAAGGGACCATTTGACTCCGGAACACAATGTTCAGGGGGACATACCGATTGCAAGGATTTACACAAAAACAGAAAGATTTAAAAAGTAACCTAAACATTTCCGTCCGCAGACAGAGCGACAAAATCATCTCATGTACAGGTACCAGGTGGATCATTCCATCGCAAGCCATGGGAGATGGCGGTGGCCTCAAAAGACCTTCATTCAGCAGTGACCAATTAGTGCTATTGTTACTAAACTTGTTCACCATGGAGAGCCTCACTGAGTCTCAAGACTCTTTTTCAGGAGGGTCCTGCCAAGTTTTCGTAGTTGGGGGCAATGTCACCGTGTACGAAGCCAGTGACAATGTGTGGGTTTTCTTAACACTATGGAAAGAAACTGGAGAACCACCCAGAGGAAACCCATGCAGAAACAGGGGACGAGAGAGAGAGTCGGGGACTGAACCCAGGCCAGACTTGCAATCGCCGCTGGTTTGGTCAGTGACGTCGGGAACGCGAACGCTGGGCGTGACAAAACACTGGTTGAAATGGATTCCCAAGCTCAAAATACACGCAACAAATGTGGCGGGGGTGATTTTTTTTACAATGTAGATAAACGATATGATAATGCGGTAGTCGCTAACTCTCAAAGGCAGAACATCTCAGAGGAGCCAGGAGAAACCACAGATAAGCAGGAAGGCAGCAGCAACCACGCGGGCCAACAACTGTCCAAGCCCCGTGGTCCCCTATATCTTCAGGTGTTTTCAGACGATTAATCAGAGTTTTACATGTGGAAGGAAACCAGAGCACCTGAAGAAACCCCACGAGTGCGAGGGGGCAACACTCTAACCCGCACTGCAACGCCCACGCAGTTTCACAACATATGTGTGATCCACCAACCCTCCTCGCCTCCACAGTGCTGGATTACAGGCATGCGTAGCCGCCACCAACACCCGGCTAAATCGTATGCAAATATGACAATTAAGTTAATGGAGGGGCGAGGAATAAAATTTTAATAACCGATTCTGAAATTGATTTATGGTTTAAAATCATCACAATTCACGAAATGGCTAAAAAGGGTAAGGGGGTGAATTGTTGCGTGCCTGCTGATCACGTGACCATGTACAGCCAACCACAACCTCGCGCTGCCCAGCTGATAACAAAGCCAGAATTTACAATTCCAGGTTTTTCTAGACAAGAGAAAAAGAATCCATGATACCAATGCAGCTTGGAAAAACCCACACAAGCACAGCACAGAGCAGCGAGGGAGTTGGTAGGAGGCGAGGGAACACACTGCAAGCTGCAAGGCGGCCAGCGTGCGTGCCAATGTTCCCGTGGGTTCTCGTGCAGCTGCGTGCACCCTCCCCACCCCATAAGCGAACGGGCCTTTACGTGGCAGCGTGCGCAGGGCCGGCCAGTAGGGGCCTCGCGGCCACCTCTCCGTCCGGCGGGCCGCGCTCCTCGCCCGCCAGCACCCCCCGTACGCACGGGGGGTCTTCCTCCTTCTGCAACGGCACGGGGGGGCAGGGTGCACGGGCAGGCGCGTGGTGCACACGCTGGCGTGGCGGCGGCGCCGTGGCGGCGGCGGCGAAGTGGCGGCGCCGTCCCGGCTGCGCGCGTTCACGCGGCGTGCGCAATGACGTCGTGGCGAAGCGACAAGGAAGCAGACACATGGGAGAGGTGGACAACAAGAGGCGGAGATAGGCGACGGTGCCCCTTTGCCAGGGACCTTCAAGCAGCGGCCCGCGGAAACACGTCTGTACGACCACGGCTAACATCAGTCGCGAATGGTGTCCGAAAATGATCCTGCTCATCCCCTTCACCAACCTGCACGGAGGACCAGCTTGGTGAAATATGGTTGAGCAACCCCCCAAAGACCTAAACGTACCACCGATTAGCACAGTTGGCTACATACAGTGCAAAAGAGGTTCAACATACATACAAACGGCGCGAGGCCTTCATCCAGCAGTGTGTTGTCTGTCTAGTGTCTGTTGTCTATTCATCTGGTTGGCCTGTCTCGTACACGCTGTTCACTTTGAGACAAGGTGACACCAAAGTCGTTATCGTTCACTTTACAGCGGACGATAACGCTGATAACAATTAAATATACTCATGGCTGGTGGGGGGCTTCGCGATTCGGCCCCCGGCCTCCGAGTAAATTGGCTCCACGTGCGATACCGCCCCACTGGGCCACGCGGCCGCGCCCCCCCTGATCGTATTTCACTGCTTGCTTCAATAGGGGACACGGGCTGCACACGGTGGATTTTAGCGGCACAGGGAAGAGAGGAGACACAGATAGCAACAGGGCAGCACTCACGCCACATGGGCAAACGAAAAACACAGAGACGCCCGCACAACGGCGCAAGCAAGATCCGACGCCTCAATGCTGCCTCTCCTTGTCTGCCGTTCTCTCTCTTTCCACACCACAGGTTCTCTCGTGTAACATTTGCCCTTATACCTCCACGTTAGATCCTTCAAGTCGATTCACCGGCTCCAGGCTTCACACGAGGCCTACCCGCTAAAGCCGCTTGGAGCCGGACTCGGCGAGAGAGAGCGCGAGGTTACCACTCACGAAGTGGATGGACGCGAGCGACGACCCCGTGCCAACGGAGGCATCGGTTTCCCACGCGCTTGGCTAACGGCAACCTGCCTTCTCTCACTTTTGGACATGAATTTTCTGAAATGTATAAATGCGTGTTTTGTGTTTTTATTATATATTTTATTTATTTTCTACCCCCCATCTGCCTTTGTCCACCACTTGCCACGGCCCCTATCCCATCGTCGCCTCTCTCTCCCTTTCCCCTGTCCCCTATTCAGGTCTCTCTTATCACCCCCCCCCGCTCTCCCATCCACGTTCGTGCATGTACGTGCGCGTGTGTGCCTGCGTAATACCTGCAAAAGCTGCGTGGCTGTGGGCCACAGAGTCCTCCACACCGTCTGCTTGAGCAGGTCGGGCAGGAGGCTCACAGTGACAAGCAACATGATGCCAAGCCACGCAGGGCCACTCGACAGCAGCTGCATGAACACAAAGTACATGTCCTGCGCCCGCAGGAACGGCCTGTGCGCGCGGAGAGAGCGTCCACGCACACGGTAAATACGCACGCACGCACGCACACACACGTGAACACAAAGTACATGTTCCGCACACACATATAGGCATCTACAGAGACGCGTCATTAACAACAATGCAACCCACGTTTACACGCAGATATCACTGATAACACAACACACATGCACACATGCCACCTCGCTGGGTTTTAGCCACCCGGTGCTCCCTTCGTTGTTTTTTACTTCACCCCTCCAACCTCCGCTGTTGTTGGAGGGCCTCCTCTACAGTCACACACACACAACCACATGCACCCCTCTCACCAGATGATGCCACTATAGAAGAGCGAGAAGAGGATGTAGAAGCCCAGGGAGCCCCAAGTCACCAGGTGATTCATCCACGTCCAGTACCGCGTGTCCAGGGCCAGCTGCACCGCCACACACACCACGCACACACAGGTACATGCACGCACACACACACAAAAACACAAACATGCACGCACGCCCCCACAAAACACATATATACACAAACACATAGACATAAAGGCAGGCTTTTGGGGCTGTGAGGACTTATGAAGGCCACTACTTAGACGTATATATAAACACACAAATACCAAGACACACTCATACGTACACAAACACAACATCAATGCCACCGTCATCAATGTTAACACTTACGCAGGCAACTTTACCATAGAAATTGCACCATGGAGGGATTGGGAAGGGGAGGGGTTGGGGAGTGAGGGGGGAAGGAGGGAGCGAGAGGGGGCTCACCTTGAGGTTCACCGTGAACACCAACACGGTGAAGATCATCGTCCCCAGGGTCCAGTTCCCGAACATCTGTTGAGGGAGACACCGGCGCTCGTCTCAGGGTCCCCCCACACAGCGGCCTGGGGAAGGCCTCGGTCTGTGGGTCACCGCACGTGGCGGAGCTTCTGGTAAAATCCCCGTGATCTCGGTTTCAACGCGCGAGATCCTCGCATCCCTCCACTGGCCTCTCTGCGAGTGTCAACCAGAGGCCCCACTATGAAGTGTCTCTCCTTGGCACTTTGTTGAAGGACCCAGTCAACCTTCGCCCGAGACTCCGACCCCCCACCAAGGCCCAATCCTAACTCAACGCTGCTCATACTCCCAGGGTACACGCAGAGCGCCAACTCACCTGGTGCTTGTTTGGATTGTAGGCCTTTCATCAGCAAGCATGAGAAACACAAGGAGGAGGAGGCGGAAGAGGAACGCGGAGTGAGGGCGAGTGAGAGAAGAGCCGTGAAGGCAAGGGAGCTCGGCGGCAAGGGAAGGAAGTCTGTAATCGAGGAGGGAAGTGTGAGACGAGGCCAGGAACGCGGACACGCCGCCACCTTGCTGCACGAACGCCGCGGGAGCCCCACACTCGTCCCTCCCACCTCTCCGCCGCTGGCTCACGTTGCCGGAGGAGCGAGCGGCGGCGAGCAGAGTCGCGAGCGCCGGCGCCTTTCGCTCACCTGCCCGTTGCTGGAGAGCGACGTGTGGTGGCCGAAGAGGAGGAAGACTCCAAAGTAAAAGACGAGGCCGTCGAAGACGCCGAGCACCGTCCAATAGATGAAGGGCCGCACGCCCAGCAGCGAGTTGCGGCTCACGTCCCTGCGGGAGACACAGAACCGGCCACACCGCTTCACAGGGGAGCTCCAGTGAAGAGAAATAGTCATGACGGTTGACGACTCGGGGAGGGCCCTTCTGTTCACGACTGATGATGATGAAATAATTATAAACAACCCTTTGTCAAACCACAGCTGGATCAAGTCCTCTCTTTGTCGTGTCCATCGTGAGGGCTATTTTACCATACTTCACCACGTTGGCCAGTGAGAGTTAGCAAAGACTGATGGGTGGCACAGGACCATTTCAGGTATCGCTCGCCACTAATGTTGACTGTGAGCGGAAATCCAATTCAAGATGCCCGAGTTTTCGAGTAGCGCGGCGCCAACCACTCCGCACTCAACAACAGAGCCCCAAGCTGCGGTTAAAACGTGGAGCGAAATTGAACGGCACCAGGAGCGCGACGCGCGATTGTTTGTGGCAGCGCTGCGCTCACCGGTAGAGCGCCGGTGTTTTCATGAGCATGTCGGGCTTGACGTGCTGCTCCACGAGGCTGTAGAGCAGGACGGGCAGCGAGGTGAAGCAGATGTTGTAGAGCGTGAGGTAGGCGCTGTCGTACAGCGTCTGCGGGGCGGCACGCACGGCAGCACCGAAGCTCCACATTTGGATATTTTATTAATTCCCAGAAAACTACTCCATTGTGAGTATGCATAACAATCGTGGCCCCCTACTGTCCAAGATTGGCAGGACCCTCTAGAAGAATAGTCAAGACTGGCGGGACCTGGGTAACCAAACGTAGTCATAACAAAAAAGATAGACGAGGCTGTGAGTGGACGGAGGCATCACCTGTTGGGAGAAGCCACAGTAGAACTGGTAGAGAAACTGCGGCATGATGAAGCACACGTTCTGCAACAACAAGAAGACAGCGACACGAGCGGCGGCGATGAGTACGGCGAGAGGTAACCACGGCACCGCCGAGATCCCGGGTTCGAACTCAAGCTCTCGGGAGCGCCGGCTGGGCGCTCCGGCCGGCTCGGAGGTTGGAGAGACACGCAGAACGCTTGCTCACCTTGTAGAAGAAGTACTGCACGAGCTCGGCCACGCGGACGTAGTAGAAGTGTCCGTGCACAAGCAGCAGGCGTAGCAGGAAGCGGAAGCGCGCGATGGCGTAGTCGCTGTTCCTCACCGCTTGCCGGCCCTCCTTACCCATAATGCCTTGTGTCGCACAGGGGGTGGGGGGAGTGGCACAGAAGAGGCGCGATCATTATCTTCATTGTCGTCGTCATTATAACCATCATCTTCGTATCATCACTGTCATCTTATGACACAGTAACTGTGCTTACCACTGTCATTAATATAACCATCATCATGATAACCATCGCGTCAACATAATCAACATCATCCTCTCCATAAAGATACCGATCATTGTCATCGACACGCATGTGTGATGCATGCACGCATCATGAAACGCCGACTCCACGACATAACTTGTATTAAACCCACATTAACCTACCACTGAATTGCTTCCTTGTTTGAAAAATCTAATAACCAAACAGCAGAGTAACAAGATTATCACGGGCGTCCCGTGGCTCCGGTGAGCACGAGGCGCGGAGTCTCGCGGCAATACAAGGGTCACAAGCAGCAGAGTGGCAGTGGTGGTGCAGTGGCAACACCTGCCTCTCACAGCAAGAAGAACCAGGTTCCCCGATCCTGGCCCCACTCTATGTGGAGTTGGGACGTTCTCCCCTCTTCTGCAATGGGTTTCCTCCGAGTTTTATGGTTTCTTCCCATAACTTAAAACATAACTGGAATTTGGCCAAACATCCCAATGCCGAAAATATTACCAGAAAATTACTAATTTGCATTGACACAGCTGCAATATCGGCCCTTCTACAAAAAATTGTCTCTGTTGTATGCATGCGTCTCCCCGTGTGTCCTCGTTTGACCCCGTGTCTCCCATGTCGCCCTGTTTATCCCCATGTGCCCCTGTGTCTCCTCGTGTCTCCGTGTCTCACCGATGCCCACGTGCGCCTCCTGGATCATGCTAACGTCGTTGGCTCCATCCCCGATGGCCAGGGTGATGGGGCTGCTGGACGATGTCTTTATCAGACGCACCACCTGCACCACCGCCACCACAATGACAAAGATCGACAAAGGCTGAACAGACTGTTGGGGCAAGTGCTGTTGGTGAGAACCTATAAAGGCCGGCACAGCACATAAGGGGGTGGGTGGCCAGCACCAAGCCCGGCCACCTTTGTCTCCCTAGCGGCAATGTTTACACATTGCACAAAATACTCATTTGAGGCCGAGTCGACCGAGGGAGGCCCAGGACCAGTTAAGATAATCGTCACCGGTGTTGGCCGTGAGCGGGACTCGAACTCGGGTCGCCAGGTGCAGAACGTGGCGTGCCAACCGCTACACTCCTGCTTATATGTACACACGCGTACGCGTCTACAAACACCGACTTATACACACACACGCACATACACAAACACCGACTTATACACACACACGCACATACACAAACACCGACTTATACACACACACGCACATACACAAAGACCGACTTATACACACGCACATACACAAAGACCAACACACACACACACGCACATACACGAAGACCAACACACACACACACACGCACATGCACAAAGACCAACACACACACACACGCACATACACGAAGACCAACACACACACACACACGCACATACACAAAGACCAACACACACACACACGCACATACACAAAGACCAACACACACACACGCACATACACAAAGACCAACACACACACACGCACATACACAAGGACCAACACACACACACGCACATACACAAAGACCAACACACACACACGCACATACACAAAGACCAACACACACACACGCACATACACAAAGACCAACACACACACACACGCACATACACAAAGACCAACACTCACACGCACATACGCAAAGACCAACACACACACACGGCAGCGCCATCCGCTGCGCTCACCTTGGCCTTCTGCAGCGGCGCCATGCGGCAGCAAACAACAGCAACGCAGCTCTGGCAAACGGTCATGAAGAGTTCCTGGTGCTCACACAGCGCCAGCGACAGACTCGCACCGTCCACCACCAGCGCCTGCTGCGTCACGCCGTCCTCGTTCATCCTGTAGCGCAACAACATGGCACACACACACGCCCTGCTTCGTCACACCGTCCCTCCTTACCCTGCACCGCAACAAAGCAAAATGCGCGCGCACACCCGCTGCATCACACACAGCTGATGAAACAAAGGAGAGTGGAACAATAACGGAACAGACAGGGATGGAACTCGGTCACGGCCCAAGAACGGGACGATGCGCGGGATCCCTGATGGCGACGGCCGACAGCGCGGGGCTGGATGACTACCAACATATCGGGCGAGGTTGCAAGGAGACGGAAAGTGCGTGGAAGGAAACGCGTCCGGTTCCAACAAGAGAGGTAGACGGCCTGGCGCCCACAAACTGCGTGAGTGCACATGTGAACGCTCGCACGCGTGGACGCGGCGACCTCACCGCTTGAGCAGCTGCAGCAGCGTCTCGGCGCACTCCTCGGCCGAGGTCTGGACCGTGAGCTCCAGGACAGCCATGCCGCGCTGCAAGTGGCCGCACGAGTAGCTCACGTTGACGGCCGTCTCCTGCTTGTCGCCTGTGAGCACCCACACCTTGATGCCCGCACGCCGGAGCCCCTCGATCGTCTCGGGCACCTCCTCCTGCAGCCTGCGAGTGGGGGGGGGGGACAGGGGGTGGGGGCGGAGGGGGTGGCGCACCACATGTAAGGCATGCGGCGTGGCGGTGTGTGAGGTGAAAGACATGTAGTGCAGTACGTGTGGTTGGCCATGCCGACCCGCACGCACCGGTCCTCCACGCCGGTGGCCCCCAACAGGTGCAGGCCACTCTCGATGGCGTCGAAGGCGGCACGCGTCTCGTCGTCGCGGTTCTGCAGCGCCACGCGCGCCGCGTGCAGCCGCTGCTCCGTCTCCAAGTACTCCGCCCCGCTCAGAGCCTTGTAGGCGAGGCACAGGGTGCGCAGGCCTTCCTGCGTGACGGCAGTCGGGGAGAGCAAGGGGGCGCGCGTTCGCGGACGGCGTTAGAAGGCAGCCCAGGAGAAGCGGCAGGGAGGCGGCTGGAGAGGGCTGACCTAAGAGCCCCTCTGTTAAATCCTTCCAGTCGAGTCGAAATAGGTTGCAACAATCTTTAAGCACGACTGCTTGCAATGATAGTCATGGCTGCATTTCATATTTTGTAACAACAGCAAAAACAAAGATCCCCCATATAGCCTTAATGGACTATTGGAGCAAGCGCCGTTAACATTGCCCCAAATCAAAAGACGTTAATCCGTGTTTTGATTTGTAGGCTTCATGTGCTGATGGGGCTTGAGTTATCGCAGTGAGAGTGCACGTGTTCAGTCCCTCCCTTGTGTCCCGCGCGATGAATGGTAATGAAAGAATCAATGTCACGCTTAGTTGGCCAGAAAATAGCGTCAGTTGCGGTGCAGCGGCCAGCAGCTCAGCGGGCAGCAGCTTGGCAGCGGAGCGGGCAGCTTGCAACCAAAGGTTTTGAGGTCGAATCCTGCTTGGGGGGAGGATTTGTGGGGAAGCCAAGAGAGGTTGTCCTGTGGATAGACTCGACCCCTTCATCGGAATGTGGAATTTGCACCGCTGGCTCCGTAGGGCGATAAATACGAGAGGAGCACTGCTGCCTCGATGGTCGTTGGAGCGTCACACGGGCCGGTCCATACCATGGCGAACTCGTCCACGTGAGCCCGCGTGCGCTCCACCTCTCCCGACACGACCTTGGGCAGGATGGACGACTCGGCTCCCTTGGTGATGACGAGGACATCGCCTGTGGGAGACAGAGAGAGAGGTGTGTGACCAGGTTGGCCATGACCCATGACCTCGCCAGCTAAGAGGCCCATTCGTGTGGAATACCGAAAGGTGATTGTCTGACCACCTTGTTTTCACATTCAAACCTAAAGACAAAGGTCCCCCGTATAACCTCCATAGATTATTGGGGGCAAGTGCCATAAGCGAGCGTGTATGAATGCCGGCACGGCACACAAGGGGGTGGGGGCAGCACCACAAACACATGTGCACACACACGTGCACACACACGTGCACACACACGTGCACACACACGTGCACACACACGTGCACACACACGTGCACACACACGCGCACACACGCACGCGCACACACGCACGCGCACGCACGCGCACACACACGCGCACACACACGCGCACACACACGCGCACACACACGCGCACACACACGCGCACACACACGCGCGCACACACGTGCACACACACGCGCACGCACGCACGCGCACACACACGTGCACACACACGTGCACACACACGTGCACGCGCACACACACGTGCACACACACACGTGCACACACACGCGCCACTCACCCGACCCCTTCTCCACGATGACACTCATGCACCTCCGGTTGGAGTCGAACTCCAGCACCTGCAGCAGCTTGAACCTGCGGCACGGACGCTCACTCAGCAACCCAGCCCTGCGGCACGGCGGGGCCACGCACGGCTTCCACGGGCCCCCTCACTTCAAAACGCACGCCGCCGGGTAGCCCCGTGCTACGCACATTGAGAGTGAAACCTCCTCTCTTATCCGTGTACTTGTTATCCACTACTCCTGTTAATCCGCGCTTCTGAATCGATCTGCAGTGAATATGATTGTCTGTGGATCGATTCTATCCATGAGGCATGCTCCTCAACGGATCTATCACTCAGAAGTGGCGAGAAAAGGGTGACACTTTTTTTGGAGGATTTTTGTTTAATCCCACGAGTCGAGCAACGTGCCTGAAAATCAGAGGAGTAATCGGCTACTCAAAATAATCGGAATGGCTGGCTCTAATCGGCACAAGAAGCAGGTTCGTGGGGTGCGTCTCCCTGCGTGGACCCGGTGTGCGTACGCATGCGTGCGTACCTGTTCACATCGCCCATGGTTCGAACCTCTATGATGTCCCCGTGCAGCCCAAGGAAGGTGACTCCGAGCCTGCGGAGACACGCGGCGCATGGCGGCGCGACACTCACGGCGGCGCCGAGTTCTCGCCGCCCCCACCACAGGGGCAGCACCAACAGAGCAACCACGGAGATGCTCCGGGGCTCAAGTGCAGCAGAGTTCACGGCCACAGCCTGGTCACCGATGATTATGCAACCAACCCATCCTGTTACATTTTACTTCTCACCAAGCACTGAACTCGCACTTCTGAGATTCTCAGTTCAAACGCAGCATTTGCCGCCTGTGATTCAGCCTAGTTCTCAAGAGTAGCGAGTGATTTATCGGGAGCAAGTCTGTTTTTCCTTCATGTAGGAATCTGACAGATAAGGCAAATAACTCCCACCATGTTTGCTCTACGGGCTCCGATTTATATTGTAAGCATGCAATAGGTTGAGACCTTTCAATTCCACCCATCACTGATTTCTGAATTAACTCGTCCCACAAGACTACGCCGGTGGATAGATCCAACCCAGGAACACGATCTCCACCCGCGTCTCCGTAAGCGCGAGCCGATCGCAAGCACGCACCTCTGCGCGGCCTCCACCAGGGCCTTCTCGTCCGGAGAGGAGGCGTAGTAGAGCACGGCGGGTTGGCTGGCGGCACTGCCTCCCCTTCCCGTGGCCCTGCCCGCGGAGGCGCCCCCCGCCTCGTCCGCGCTGCCCCCCTCCTCCTTGCTGATGTGAACCGTGTGGCACAGCGCCAGCGCCAGGAAGAACTGCACCACGGACGGCTGTGACGGAACATGCGCAGACGCGAGACATTCGCTCGCCTGACGCGGGGCCGCTCCCCTCATCAGCTGACCAAAACAACTTCACATTATGCTCGGTTCTGCACTCAACTTGGCCAAAATAAAATGTAAAAAATCTGTTTGGCTGTCGCAAATATTATTCTCGTGGCATGGCAGATGGGAAAGAGCTGCCCCACCACGGCGTGGGCCAGAGTTCACTCGGATTAATCTGTGATGTCATACTGCGGCACGCGCGACGATTCTCCCCACCGGTGTATCGTCTCATTATGAGACATCGGGTGCACAAGCGAAATGAGCAGAAGGATATATACAAATGTATTTACTTATTTAACAGTCTATTATGGGTCACTCACATTGCAGTCACCCAGTTACATCTCTACCTCACCGCGTCCCTGGCACCTCCCTCCCACCCCCACCGCCCCGGTGAGCGTACAGTGATGTTGCTGCTGGAGATGGCGGCCGGGCTGTCAGGAGTGGCGGCACCGGCACCGCCATTGTCGTCGTCGGCAGTTCCACCGGCACCGCCGCCGCCGAGCGGGAGGAGGACCCCGTCCTCCTCCACGTACTTGACCCCGCCGATAGAGCACTGGCGGAACTGCATGTCGTTCTCCGTCAGCGTGCCCGTCTTGTCCGTGAACACGTACTCCACCTGCGCTCACGGACAGACAGACGCACATGAATGGACGCAAAACGACAGACGATGCACGGAGGGATGCGCACAGACACGTACAGGCAGTTAGAGACAGACACACAGAGAGATGCACACACAATAGAAACAGTCAGAGGCCAGGAGTCAAACGAAACTTGCCGTAACTTTCCAGCTAATCGCCCAGGGAGCCGAAACAATCGTCATTGGCGCATCATTATCCCCTTACATGCCTAGTCAGTTAATTTGCGTCGCTGTGTCAGGTGGTGGAGGGTTCCTAACGACACGGATTTGGTCAGATAATGATGTGGTGGCCTCCCCCGAAACGCAATAACGAATCACAGTAGAACGTGTGAACCGTGGTCTGCTATTGATGGTGGAACACAATCAAATTGATGGAATGTTCTTAAGTGCTTTTGGAAAGCTGAGAACAGACCAATGTGCCCAGGGAAGACTGTGTTTAATCAATAAGCCCTTCGTGCTATGAATAATCGAGATCACACTGAATATCGGCGCCTATGGTTGACACTTGTGGTTGAGTTTTGACAGACAAACCCAAGGTTTACAATTCACAGACACATTACATGTTTACTATGGTGGACACCTCTCAGGGAGGCCTGTAGTTGATACTATAGTTGACACTGTGGTTGACACTGTGGTTGACACTACATCCGCCCAAACCCACCTGGCCCAGCTCCTCATTGAGGTCGGAGGTGTTGACGAGTGCGCGCTCGTTGGAGCCCTCGTCGTACAGCGCCATATCCCAGCTGATGAAGAGGGATCCGAGGAACTTCTGCATCTCCACGGTGACGTAGAGCGAGATGGGGATGACGTAGTTGTAAAGGACCATGAAGGCCAGGAAGTCGGCAAAGCCGGCGAGGAACTGCCGGGGCGACACGGCACGCAGCACACCGCACACGTTAGCTTGGCCCGCGTAGCGGTCACACGGAAGAGTGTGACCAAACAACACCAGTGCACATGAGAAGTATTTAGTTAGGCTGTGTCAGGTGGTGGAAGGTTCTTAATGACACAGATATGGTCAATTCATAACATGGCCTAAGCCAGAAATAAATTGTTAATTTCTATGGAACACACGAATGTGTATAATTTATAACAGTGCGAATCTGTGAAATCAACTGTGGTAGTTGTTGAACGCATGATTGGATCGCGAGGAATTCACAAGTGGAGGAATTTACCGGAGTATTCATCAAACCAGGGAGGTGAGAGCTGACCTCACAAGAGGAGGTGGGGGAGATGGTGACGGCCCTCACCTTGTTGACGTGCTTCAGCTTGTCGGACTTGCCGTTGTACCAGGGCTCGTCATTCTGCGGCGTCGCCTGCCACCAGTACTTGAGCACCGTGCTCAGCAGAGCCTTCACCAACAGCAGGGTGAGGTACACGGTGAGGAATGAGTTCATCGACCTGGGCGCACACACGCACACACATACGTACGGACATGCACGCAGGCAGGCATGTATGGTCACATACACAGGCATGTACAAACCCACACACAGACATGTCCAGACAACAACAACCGCCCTTCACCACTAAGAGGCAGTGACGTCACCATGGCGATTGTGCCAGGCTAAGTGCACGTTGAGGTCGGGTATTGAATTGAGCGAGATGACTGGAAGATGAGATAGCAACGTGGCTTACATCAAAGTTCTGTTCGTATCGAATCAGTCATTCGAATTATCGTGACCCCACATTACCGACGAACGGAGTTAAGGCTTAAACAATGTCAACTTGGGCAGGAGAGTGGAGAACAAGTTACACGTGAACAAATCAACTCGGGAGGGTGACAAAATGTGGCCGGGAGCACGCGGGAGAGAAGAGACGTACTTCTCCACGGCAGAGCGCTTCTGCGACTTGCCCTTGTAGTTGAGCGCCATCTTGGTCTCCATGCCCGTGTAAACGGCGACGCCTGGCGACGAGAAGCAACCACGCGGCTCTGTGAAACACGACCCCGGCCACGGCAGGGAGGCCGCTCCCGCCTCGTGGTACACCAGATACTTCACACGACCACAGTGGGCCTCTTCACCTGGCGGGCCCGCAGGTCACATCTGGCCCACAAAGGCCCTTGCAGTGGCCAATTTGGCTATGTTACACCGAGACAAGAGGAGATACAGACCGGGCCGGCGCTCACGAGGCGCTGGCTTGGGCCCCGCACCACCAAGTGTCCCCTCGGTCCCCCTAAGTTCACACTCATTAGCAGTGAACCGCTGCGACGGTGGCCCCCGCACAACCGCTCTACTGCCCCCCCACCCCCACCCCGTCCGAGAGGAGCTGCAGCTGGTCCTTGAGTAGGATGATGGAGAGATTAACAAGAGTGAGATGAGAGAGCTGCAGACCAGCAGAACGCAGGTGGGGCGCCCTGCACTTCCCCTCTTCGCTGTGGGGAAGCGCAAAGCATGGGAGGAGGGAGACGCGGTCTCAAGGGATGCTCACCAAAGAGCTCGTCGGTGTTTTTGAGGCGAGCGCCCCGGAGCAGGAGGTTTTCCTGTCCCAGGGGCCTGAGGAGAGCAGTCAGAACAACAGCACACACACACAGACACGATGACACATACACACAGACACGATGACACACACACACACAGACATGATGACACATACACACAGCCACGATGACACATACACACAGACACGATGACACAGACACACGTGGGACACGCAGCAGTGTTCTGCTCATGCCGACATTTACACAAAATACCAACCACTTGCCTCTCATCTCAATGGGCTCTGCTGCATGAGTTACTCAAGCTAAGCTCTATGCAATGCAGCTGACTGTGAGCGTTTCACCATTGTCATCATCAGCCATGATCAATCCACCACTGGATCAGGGACTCCCCCAAGCCACCACCACCTCTCATGGTCCTACAATGTAACAATGTACCCAGATCCTGCACACAAGTTGACTGCATGACTCCATCTCTGCGCCGGACAGCACCAACTCCCTGCGCTTGAGACGCCGGTTTAATGGAAGATGGCCAAATCCTGGATTTGGACCCTGGATCTCACCGGTGCAGGCGCTCTGACCTCTGAGCCACCTCCAGCCACATGCTTAGCTAAAACAGTAGAAAAAACCTTGCTCATGCTTTGAAAAGTGATATCAAAACCAAATAATATTTTCTTAAATTCCAGTTTTACAAAATGTAATGCTTGAGTACGGTACTATCAAAGTAAACCGTGCTTTAACGACAGAGGGGAAAAACCTAGAACGGAACTCGAAGTCGAACGCAGGGCCTCTGAGCTCCTAGAAACTGGGCCACTTACTCTCTCATTAATAACGAATAAAAAGTAATGGCCTAAAACGTTTGGTATCCGCGCAGTTCTCAAAGCTCGAGGCTATCATGGAGGGGCTATTTCACAGACACGGTCTGCAATGATTCCCCGGACTGGACGATGTGGCTCTGTGCAATCCCACTCGAGTAACTTGCAGTGGAATCTTTAAAATCTGGCGAATGTGGGCCGTGACGCCGACACACAATGGCTGACTGTTATCGACCGACATCACGGGATCCATAACATCCACCGTGAAACAGACAGTCGCCATCATCGCTTGGTAGGCGTGCAAGCAGCACGCATGCCGATGGTCGCCATGCTGCCGTGTCTCACCTCACAACATCTTGCTCCGTGTCTTCCAGGTGGATCACCATTCTGCCCACAAACCTGCCAATCAACACAGCGCATGCTCCGTTACCATCAGATACACCACAACAACAACCACAACAACAACGACGACGACAGCCCCAGGAAAGCCTCAATGAGTCACAAGGCTCTTTTTCACGAGGTGCCTGCATCAGGATAACTGGCCGATATCATTAACGAATTAACAAGTGCTTTTCACCAAATAATAGATTTCTTTCCATCTTGCCCTCTTCCCCACTTCCATATTGCTTTGCAAACTAATCATCTTCCATCATATCTCCAGCTGTTAGCCCTTGTCCAGATTCGGCCCACTAGACTTTTGACAACAAAAAATGGTGCGGAATCCACTGCCGGAAACCAAGATTTCCCCAGAGTTTCCCTGGCGCATTATCGAGGGCAATGATGATGGCGACGATGGCGACGATGGCGACGATGACGACGGCGATGATGACGGTGATGTCGCACTTGGGTCACCTGTAGAGGTCGGGCTGCGGCTGTTCACACTCGATGGTGGCGTGCAGCTCAGAGAGCTGCAGCAGCGACTGCAGCCTCGCCGTGTCCAGCAGGGCCGTGTGGGTCTGCACACAGCGTGGGGACGCAGACAACGGCACTTAACAACCGCAGCAGAAGCAGCAGAGAAACCCTAGCCCCCACACTCATAAATAAACACAGCCAGAGATGGGCATATATGTACCATCGAATTACAAATTACTGGAGTAATGTAGTGGGAGACAAATTGACTGTGCCGTGTAATTTAGATACAAATGACAAATTGTCAACGTAATGAAATCACACATCTAAATCATGTGTAATGTGAATGAAACCCATCGGTACTATGATGCCGCCCTCCTGTCATGCGCTATGACGTGGCCGTGCGGACTTTGTCCTCTGCGCTTGGCGTCAGAGGCATCCGTAGATGGAAAGTACATTTCCTTGTAAAGGTTCACGGGACACGGTCAACATGTTCACTCAATGCACAGCTGACTTTCGGGCTTGGCCTCCCAATTATCTGACCAAATCCGTGTCTTTCAGGACCGTCCACCACCCGACGCAGCCAAACAAAATAATTTGTCATAAGTGCAAGCGTTTAATAACGCGTCAAGTATAATAGCTTCGGCTCGCTCACCGGTACAATGAAGAACGATTATTATTATTTTAAGCAGCCTGCAGCAGTTGCCTTATGCACACGGTGGTAGCCCATCCAAGCAATGAGCCACCGAGATACGAGATTGGGCGGGCCCTGGCTCATTTAACCAAGGATGGCAATGTTGGCCAACTCCATTCTCATTGTTATGGCTCATGCAGGGTTATATGGTCATAGGTGGCCGCTGAACATTAACGATCCGCACACTGTGGAACGTGATACACTGTGGAACGTGATGTTTTGAGATGGTGACGCGCTGAGACGCTTTGCAAACCCAGCTGGTGGTGTTTGCTAAGCGCCTGTTAATGGGTTGCCTTGCTGACGCACAGTGTCGGAGCCCCTTTTAAAAGGGCAGATTACTAAGGGTCTCGAAGCAGTCTTACCGCTCGCTGTGCTATGCTCTATGTAATTATAACAATTACTTTTATTTTGTATTGTGGAGCGAGGGCACAGTGGTTATCACGCATCAATTTCCATGCTTTACCACAGCTCATATCCATGGGGAGTAATATCTGAATGAGTCCATAGGATGGCTCTCATCCAGCAGTGGACTGGCACAGCACTGTACACGGCGACACCAAGTCACTGCGAATGAACACGTGGCAGCTGCAGATGACGGTGATGACATGGCTGCCGCTCCCTAATGACCTCTGCTCTCTCGACCCTTTCAGGGACCTGCCACGGCCGCTCGGCTCGTGGACAAAACTGAACTGCGTCCGAACGCCAGGGCAAAGGTGGGGCAAAGGTCATCTCGCAAGGCAAAGGTGAACGCATCGGCGCGGGAACGTGGAGCGAGCGTTGCGCAAGTGGAGAACCTTGAGGTTGGTTTCCCCATCGAGGCTCGCAGTCGTCACGTGACATGTGCCGTCCCCGTTGCATGACGAGAGCAGCACCAGATCACACGGGAACGTCTCGTCTGACGTGACACGCACGATGTCGCCCACCTGCGGGGGTCACAGGGTCGCGAGGTCAAGGCGCTGGGTCACGAGGTCACCGCCGCAGCCAACGTCAGAAGCAACGCCGACGTCGGCGCCAGAAACATCGGCACCAGCAGCACCCGCAGCAGTACTAATATGCAATTAGCGTTTTTAATTCATGTTGCCACCCATGCGGAAGCAATTACACTTCTGTCATTTGAAAAATGCAGGAAGTTTCCCATTGGCGGAACGCCAAGTAAGCCGAGCGGCGGTTCCTTGTTTAAGAAACGCTTAACGTTTGCAACAGGAGACGTGGGTGGGCTCTAACGGAGAATTGGCTAGGCAAGGAGGCTAGGGCTTTAGTAAATAACACACACTCAAACATAGCCCTGGAGCGTGCTTGGGCCAACTCCCTATGCGTAGTTCATCTCAATGAACACCTCCGGACCCTCTACGTGTTGGAACTTCCCTTCATATGTTCCTGCCAGGAAAGGGTGATGATTGATATTCGTTTACAACTGAATAATTTACGGCGTTATTATTCTAATTTGGACAAAATGAGCCCCTTACACCGGCGCACAATTGACTACACTTCTTTAAATGAATTAACGTCCAGTGCAAGCGAAGCAGATGGCGCGAGTAATATTTTCCCGTTAATACGCGCACCGCGGCATTAACCAGAGCGGCCAGGCAGATTCCAACCGTGAACCTCCGCAACACGCGGCGACCGCCTCCCCCTGCAGCACCGCCGCCGTGCGTCTCACCCGAATGTTTTTGGAGCGCGTCTTTACGAGGCCGCCGCTGCGCACCGCGTACACAGTGTAGTTGTTGGTCTCGTTGTCGGCTTTGTGCCGGAGCCAGTCTTCATATCCCTGGGACAGTCACAGAGAGGCAACACAGCAGCGGCGGGCTGGGCGCTGTTTGAGGCGAACATCATCGGTGACGGGGCCGAGCATGGCAGCGAAAGACGCAGCGTAGGAGGTGAGCCAGCGTAGGACGCAAGCAAGCGTAACCCACGACCCCGCCGTGAGCGAGGCTCACCAGGCGAAGCGGACCGCACGCGCTCGTGCGTCAACCGCGGTGGGACGAGCCTCAGATGAGCATCTCCTGCTTACAGCCATGAGCCAGCCGGTGGAAATCCCACATTATTATGGCGGGGGCAGGTCTACCATAGGACAACCGCTGGTGACTTCCTCACAAAGTGCAATTAATTTTACCAACCCCAGAAGGATGTAAACCCCTCCAGCCAGGACTTGAACTCAAACGAGCCACTCGCTCTACAGCTGCATCGCGCAGACAAGGGGTTAACGCTCATTGGTCTGCACGGACAGCAGAACAGTGAGCCCACGTTGCCCATCGCACGTTGCCGTATGGCCCTACGACACCAAGCACGCAGCATTCAACCGTTTATCTCACATCCTCCTCTCAAAAGCCACTCTCGTTTTGAAATTTCCTTGCGAGGGAGCCGTGCGTTGCTGCGCAACTCCAAACCGCGAGGGAAAAGCACGACCACGGTTGTAATGGAAGATGATTGCGTAACGCCAGAGCTCATTTGTGAAACTAGGGGTGGGGGTTTTACCAAACTCACCTGTTTGATGGCCGTGACGATTATTACAAAAAAGAGGGGGAGCCCGCTGGTGACCGGACTCGTGGGAGTGTCTATTATGAGCTGCAAAACACCAAGAGGGCGGGAGGCAGAGATGAGCACACAGTCCACAGAGAGTGTCCTGTAGAGCACAGATTAACATCCCATCCCCACCCCGATTAACGAGCAGCAGCACGCCGGCTCACTCACATCACCATTACAGGCACGGTTGCCGCAAGCCGCATGCAGCAATACAGACAGATTTAGTATCCCGGGTTCCCGTCATGATCATCATCATCATTATTGATCCATCTACTACTGGATGAAGGCCTTCCCAAGCCGGTGCGATCTCTCAGTCCTGGCACCAAACAATCCTTGTAGCGACTCCGCACGACCTTGTTTCGTCGCTCCATATTTGCGGTGCACGTCCTCTCAGTCTCGACCAGCGGCCTTCATCCGAGCTCCCGTAATCGGGCTCGATTCCAGGTTCGCGTCACCTCTTATCTGCGTCTGAATCTTGGTGCTCGGGCAGGTTCTTACAGGTTGCCGCGGGACTACATTGCGGAAAGCAGTGCAGCGCAATCAATTGTTATACTGTACTTTGACGTTCCACGTTTCATTTAACCTCACCGACCAGTGTGGTCAAGTATGGGCAGACAATCCGCATGATCCGCACGGCATCGGAAGGGCTTCATCCAGCAGTGGATAGACAAAGGGTGCTGTACAAGTGTACGCAGCAGCAGCAGAGTGGGGGGGAGGGGGCATGAGTGCTCGGGAGATGGAGCGCGCCTCTCACCTGCACCAGGAAGATGATGATGAAGTAGAAGTTTGCGATTCTGCGGAACTGCTCGAAGAGATTCTTGGGAATGAAGTTCCACACGGTGTACTGTAACACACGGCATCCCCCGTATAGCCATTAATGGACTGTCAGGGCGAGTGCAGTTAGTGAGTAGCACCTATTAAGGCCAGCACAGCACACGAGAGGGTGGGTGGCCAGCACTACGTCTGGCCACATTTGTCTCCACCCACGGCTGACGTTTACACATCATACCAGGTACTCTCGTTTAAGGCTGAGTCGATCAAGGGTATGCCCAGGATCGGTTCAAACATTCGCCACCATTATTGGTTGTGAGCTTGAAACGAACTCGGGTTCGGAGTGCAGCACGCTAACTGCAGCGTCACCACTCCCCATCCTGCAACAGGCACACAGAGGGTTGGGGACAGTCACAGGGAGCAAAGCAGAGCCGACGTCCTCTGTGACAACATTCATAAATATTCCTAACTCATCCACAAAACTCCTCTCTCCCCTGCCTAGGACTGCCTCTCTCTATTAAGCAGGTTAATTCTTACCTTCAACATTATCATTGTTGCTACGCTTGTTTAACCCGGAAAGCCTCACTGAGTCTCAAGACTCATTTATAGGAGGGTCCTGCAAAGTTATTCGCGTAAGTGGGCAATGTTGCTGCGGCGTGTGATCTCAATTTAGTGATTTGCAGGTAAATTTCCGCATTCGGATGTTTGCCCAATACCAGTAACATGATATGATTGTTTTTTAACTATTGGTGGAAACTGGAGAACCCGTAGGAAACCCATGCAGAACAGGGCACAACAAACTCTAAACGAAAAAAGGCACCCGCATAAGGAATAAAAAACTCCGGGCCTCCGTGCTCTGAGGCACAGGTGTTACCACTGCTTGCCCGCCCTGCGCCCACTACAATTCCATCTCCTCCCCATCTCTGACCTGTTGCCCTCCCACCGCTGTTAACAAAAAACCTCTGAAATGAACTCTATGCTTTCCACAGCTCACCAAACACACATCGCCCTATTTGTATAAATCTGAAATAATATTGGCATTGAAGTGGTCTCTACAAATCCTGCAACCAAGCGTAAAGACCGAAAGGCAGATAGAGGGAGTTTGTCAGGGCAGATCAAGGAGCTGGCCAAGTGAGGCTGTGGTAAATGGTCCGCAAATCTGTTGCGGATTCTCCAATAAAGACACATCGAGCGCAGCACGTCCCGCCAAATTGATCTGCACCTCGCCGCGACGTACATTTCTCATGACTGTTGGAAGCAAAATAGAATTTAAATATCCAAGTCAAGGACCACATGAAATGAAGTCACGGCCATGTGAAATGAAGACGCGGGCCGGCAGCAGCTCGGAGGAGGTGGTGGCTCCACACGCCTGCTTGACGGCACCGATGCTTGGTACCAAACGACCACCGTGTGACAATGGCGCTGGTGGCGTGGTCGTGCCAGGAGACGCGGTTATAGACGGCGACGCGGAGGGCACGCACCTTGGAGGAGATTATGCGGTTGTCGGGAAACCACTGAGGCACGTAGTGATCGACGTGGGGCGGCGCGTGATTCGACACGCGCACCGTCCGCGTGTCCGTCACCTGCGTCTGCTCCAGCCCCTGGGCAAGGTGGGGTCAAGCACAGGGATCGCACGCAACGGGTCATACAGATGGAACAGGTGGATTGCACATTTTTGCTGTACTGCCGTCTGCTAGCGAGCTAGCGAATCGCACCCCGGATACCCACGGGAGAGGAGTTTCGCAAAAATGTGTGCGCTATGCACACAGCCCACGTACGTGGCCACCACCACCACCCAGTATCTGGGAGCCATTCCATGGCCGTGGCGTGGCTGCAGGATGTCGTTACTCTTACTCATCCCCATGGGGCTCCCACCAGCCCATATTCTGTCTCGTCTCGCCCACACTGCATGCACCCACCAGGCTGCAGGTCATAATAGCACAAAAAGATCCCCCGTATAGCCTTTGCTTTAAATCACAAGGGGGAACGTGCGTCTGATAATCCGGAGACTACTGTAACAGTTACAATGTGTGTGCGTGTGATGTAAGCAGTGCAGCACTGTGTGAAGCCGCAGCGCATGGTGACCTACCACCCTCTCCATCGCACACAGCCTTGTGTGATTATGATAAAAATCTAACGAGGCCGACACATTACTTTGGCTGCCTGTTTTAAATTTCCAACTCACCATGTTTGTGAGTAATGCCAGTTAACTATGAACCATCCATGTGTTCATAGTGAACTGGCCTGGTATGGGAAAGGTGGTGGTGGTAGTTCAAGTTTCAAGTTTCATTTATTAGGTATAGCCCTGTGAGCCATGCGGCTCTTGAATCGGGTGCAACCGCAACAAACAAAAAAACAAAAACATGAACAAGTTCACCGTGGCAGCCGTACCTCACCGCGCTGGTCAATATGATGCAAAATTTTAAATTTCCAAACAGTGCAATTGTATTGTCTGAAAGACAAATGCCCATTGTCAGTGTTACTGTGTTTAACGTGGACTGCAGTATGAATCGAGTTAAGCAAATAAAAAATAAAAAGGCACGACTTTAAAAACGGTTGTTAAATAGTTTATTTGCACATACTAGAAGCGCTGTGATTGGCAGGACATGGTCACCGTCCTCGCTAACCATCAAAGAGCTGAATATTAAATGCCCAAAAATGCATCAATTGGGGAGGAGCGGTGGTGCATTTATCAGCGCGCTGCACAATAAAACCAGCAACCAGAGCTTGATTCCCGGCCGCGGCCTCCATCAGTGGTGAATATCTGGGCTTGTCGCTGCTCCCACTACCATAGCCATCACCAACCTGTACTAACCCGCATGGTAAAGTATGGTCAAACAAACCCCATGACTAATGTGCTGTGGGAAGGCACTCATCCAGCAGCGAAATGGGAAAAACTGCTGTACACGCACACATGCATTTATATAAATGAAGTCTCAGCGTGGACTTTCTTGAATGACTCTTGGGTGGGTGCCAACCAAATTTAGGTAATTATTTGGCGAGCACGGGCACCCCCAATCTGGTTTATTGCTGTGGCAAGGCAGGGCACCATTGAGGCTGATCACGACGACGATAATAATATTAACAATAACTTGTACTTATTAGGCGCCTTTCACAATGTCTCAAGGTGCCATTACGATGGCAACATTCTGAAGATGATTTATCGAGAGCAGTGCCACTTCCTGGAATAGGAGTCAGGAATATTTCTGACTTGTGGTCACCAATGGCGCAAACCTGCCCATGCGGTAATGGTGGTTGGTGGCCTAAGGCGACAGAACCACAAGTTCCGCTGCCGAGATGTCGAGTCATCATCATCCACTGTACACGAGCCGCACACTCGCACCGCGTAAGCAATAAAAGCCCGGCACGGAGCAACCAGGGTGCGGGGCAGGGTGTGAGAGCCACGCACCTTGTCCTAGCAACGCCGACAGGTGGAATGTATGCCACAGATTACACCAGGTTCATGGTGGACTGCAGAGCTGGGCTCTCTAATTATCCAACTGATCGATAACTCTGCCAATAACCGGTCCGATTGCTAGACTAATTGGATTGCACGAAAATAGTTGTGCGGGGAAAAATCCACTCTTCTCTCCAAGTGTGCCGCTGGATGGGAGGTGATAGAAGGGGCTTGGTGATTGGTTTATTGGGGGTTTCCTGCCTTCGGGAGACTGCAAAATGTGCGAGCGGCCACCACTTTTAAAGAGGGGCAACGAGTAACCGACCACAAATTAAGTAATTGATTATAATTTGTAGTCTATTAATTGAGTGAATGGACTGACCGCCCCGGCTTTAACAACATTAAACGTCCTGCGCAAGGTCGTGCAAGTGCCTGTAAGACAGGGAAACTGTTCTCCGGGACCCAGGGTTGCATGCTGGGGTAAGCCCGAGAATATTTCCTCCTGTCGTTTTCCTGGTGGGGCTGCGTGTTGAGCATTCTCCTCTTATTATTCCAGGCGGCTGCGAAAACGTGCAAGTCAAATTCGTATTCGGCACCAACTTCTGTTTCCACTTCAAACTCAGAGCCAAAGCCCTTCCTAGGCCCATCACGGTTTCATGCAGCACTTCCTTCTGGAGTTCCTAACCGAGTCCAAGAGACGCTCCTCTAAGTCCACAGACCCAGTGAGTCAATTCTGACTTAATTAATGACATCCCCGTTTTTGATGCATTCATAATTGGATTGTGGGTTAGGCCAAGTAATGATCCGACCCCAATTGTGCCATTAAGACCCTCCGCCATCCGACGCAGCCAAACAAAGTGAATGTTCTCATGTACATATTGCGTCATTTCACGGGTAAGTCAAAGAACAATTCTCAACAAAATATATCAGCAATTGGATACGATGTCAGATCCTGACGTGGCCTAACCCAATATGCAATGCTGATCCGTAATACCGGCTGAGAAAACTTGTGTGTTAAGACAATCATTGTTTTATTATTATTATTACTACATAATTGAAGATGATTATGCATAGTTTCATAAAACACGACTTATTTATGTGCACTGACTGTGAATGTCACTGTTTGGTGCCGGGCTTACAAAGCCACGGCGGATAATGTGTTGGCATTACGTGTAGCCCGCTTACGGGGCGTAGTACCGGCCCTAGCGGGGCTTGGGTGAGCCCTGGTCAGTGCGGAGGCACCACGTACAGCGTGCGGTGCGGGCTCCCGGTGAGGGAGCGAGAGGGAGTGTCAGCCAGCCAGGGTTACATTGTGGCATGATACGCTAGTTGACCTGCCGACACGTGACCGGATGATATTGGAGGGGGGCCACCGGTGGACGGGGGCTGCTGAGCGGTCACGTGGTGTAAAAGAGCTCTCGGGAGCCTTCGGGAAAGAGCTCGAGAGATCGAGAAGGTGGGCGGGGCGAGGGGCGGAGCCAGCCCCAGCCCAGGCCGATATAACGGGAGCCCCGTGAGGGGCTCGGGGTTCTTCGTGTTGCTGGTGAAGAAGATCCACGTTGGGTAAAAGAAGCCTTTAGCCACGCGGTCCGGGACCCAGCTTCTGGTCCGGGCCTGGATAGCGAACCGTGTCTAGTTCTGCCGTAGCGTGGCTAGATGGGCATTCCATACCAAAGTGTAGGTTGTGTTATGTCATGTTGAGTTGGTGAAATAAATAGTGTTGCTCCCAAGACAACGTCTGCGACTCAGTTGCACTCACTACATATGTAGCAGGTGAATGGTCTGATGCACACACGAAACTGAGTGCATCGTCGCCACCATCCCAACGTGGATGAAAAAGTCAGTTTTGTCTAAGTCCGACAACGCAGTGGTATGATATGGGCGTCGCTCTCCCTCATCGAGAACAGTGAACAAGTTATTTCTGATTCACAGTTCCTTATCGGTTTTGTGTACTACACCCAACTTAAAAATCTACTTTCAGATGAAGCTAATGATTACTCCAATCTTTTAAGTGTCTTCCAAAAGATTCCCAAAATCAGTGCAACTGCCTCAGTCTATGTCCCCACACCGAGTTCGTGACTGCAGCGTAGCTTTCTTGCTTCACCGAAAGATAATATTACTGCCAGGAAGAAAGACAGAGAAAAGAAAGACTTCTGTGGGGGTCCAATAATCTCATCGGCTCCCTTGCGAATAGTTTGTCCGGATTAGCCTGGGATTTTACACCTAAGTTGGGCTTAACCTTGTTGCACAGCTCGTGAAACAAGCGATGACACTCGGGCAGGCGGGGCACCAAAGTAGGACATGCTCATAATCGCGAGCAGCGCACACACACAGCATACACGCAGCACACACGCAAGCAGCACAATCGCACTCAGGCAGTATCATTACATTGCCACGGCTGAGGCAAGACACCGAGGAGATGGGTTCGGCCACTTAGTCAAGATATGAATTTGACCCCAAGTGCCTCCTTCTGTAAAGACGCACAGAGAGACACATGCTTGATTCAAATTTTAAAGATAGAAAGAGGAACACATGGATTAGATAACAGACACAGGTTGAACACATCATTCCAACTTTTCATCACTCAAAATCAATTGGCATATTTGCCCACGTGACATTTTGATTTGATTGGCTGTGGGGTGGTGGAGGGTATAGCTGAAAATTGGCATTATACCTATATGATCTAATCTAAAAATAAACTAATTATGAATCGTAATATTGGTAGTGACACCCTACATTAAAAAAACAAATCACACTCTTAAATAAAACCAGTAGGCTTGGACAGGACATGCCACTAGAAGGATCGATGGCCAAGGGATGGAACAGATCCAAGAGGATGTCCACTGTAGAGACGGAGCGATAACTTCGGCTTACGTGCAAGTGCTGGGTGGATTGTTGCATCGCGGGACAGGGAAGGATGGTGACTGCTTTGGGATGCATTAATTCCAAGGTGGATTGATCATGGTTGATGATAATGATTATGTCACCAGGCGGTACCAATCTCTGTCATGGCTCATAGCAGCCAGAAGATCAGCCGATTGCTGTGGGTTTTCCTTCTCGGAGTTACACAGATAAGACATCTTCCGGGCTTCAGATGTGAAACTTCAGTGCACACTGTTGACAGCCTGCGGTGTCTACGCATTCAGCTGAACAAGAGGCGGCTGTCTGTGCTGGGGACACGGAAGAGATTACGAGACTCTGACCACAAGTCGGCCCGAAGCAATAAATCTCTGCTTCCTCTGCTTTCTGAAGCAGAAGACACACGTGACAGCAGCAGCAGTGGTCACAAGACGGCATTAATGTTTAACAGGCGTGGTGCGATCATCACCATACACAGAGCACCACCGCAGGAGTCTATGATCGCTTATCTTACAGTTGTGACCACAAAAACAGCAACACCTCCTCTAAGCTCTCCGGAGTGGTTGCAGGGTTACGCCACAATCAATTGAGTCAAATGTATTTGTTTAAGCAGGTGGAAACTCAAGAGATACGTCTCATTTGAAAGAGTGACTGACCTGGGTCACCAAAATGACAAAAGCAAAACAATTAAAATAAAGTTACAGCAATGAAGGAAAGACAACTGCATCACAAGATAAAAAAAAGATTCAACAAACATAATTCAACACTGAAAAATAAATGCCCTGCAATGAAAGCCGGCTCAAGCAAATTATTTATAGACTGATCACGATGCCCAACGTTCCGCTACACGAGTTTGGGAGTTTATTCCGGAACTAAACCCAAATACAGTATCACTATTTGAACGGAATTAAATTCCTGAAGCTTCCAGCACGTGGAGAAAACGTTGGTCATGGTGCCGAACAACACGCGGTACATCCATAATACATATCGGGCAGCTTTCCAGCACAACGACAATAACTTATGGTTATGTACAGTGATACCTCGGTTCACGAACTTAATTCGTGAACTGACTCTGGTCGCGAACCGAATTGGTCGTGAACCGAGGCACATTTTCCCATAGGGTTCAATGTAAATCCGGTTAATCCGTTCTGACCTTTTTTTTGTTGTTTTTGAAGCACAAAAATATGAAACTAATTACAATACACATTAGTACTGTACAGTATAGTAATGTATAAAGAGAGAACACTAACCTTGCTTGAGATGACTTCAGTAAGCACTCAAACGGGTGAACTGTACAATACAGTAAGTACAGTATTGTACAGTACAGTAGTACAGTACTGTATGTGCTAAAAAGCACACCAAAAAGCAAAAAGTCACTGAAAGTGTCTTCACAGTACTCACAGTACTTCTTTCTGTGTCTCTTCTTCTCTCCACGATCTTCCTACAGGAAGTCACGACCATGTGACAGCCTGGAAATAGCATTAGAATGGCCGCGGCTCCTGTTCGTGAACCGAAGCGGAGTTCGTGAACCGGAGCATATTTTTATGAACTTTTCTGTTCGTGAACCGAGTTGTTCGTGAACAGAAGCGTTCGTGAACCGAGGTATCACTGTACTCTGCAACCAACTGGTTCTGTAGTGACTGTGCTTGTCACTGTGTGGTGCCGGGGCTTACGAAGCCGCGGCGGGTAATGTGTTGTCATTATGGGCAGCCCGGATTACGGGATGTAGTACCGGCCCTAGCGGGGCTTGGGTGAGTGCTGGTTAGCGCGGAGGCACCGCGAGCAGCGTGCGGTGCCGGCTCCCGGTGAGGAAACGAGAGGGAGCGTCAGCCAGCCAGGGTTACCTTGGGGCATGATACGCTGGTTGACCCGCTGACACGTGACCGGACGATACTGGAGGGGGGCCACCGGTGGACGGGGGCCGCTGGATGGTCACGTGGTCCAAAAGAGCTCTCGGGAGCCTTCGAGAAGGAGCTGGAGAGACCTGGAAGGTGGGCGGGGCGAGGGGCGGAGCCAGCCCCAGCCCGGGGGCATCTAACGAGGGCCCCGTGAGGGGCTCGGGGTTCTTCGTGTGCTCGAGGTGTTACGAAGATCCACGTCGGGGAGAAGAAGCCTCTAGCCACGGGGGCCAGGACCCAGCTTGTGGTCCGGACCGGGATAGCGAACCGTGTCTAGTTCTGCCGTAGCGTGGTGAGATGGGCATTCGAGACCCGAGTGTAGATTGTGTTATGTTACGTACCGTTGTGTAAATAGTGTTGCCCCTAAGATAACGTCTGCAACTCGGTTATACTCTGTAACCCACTGGTTCTGTTTGTACTCCTTATCCCACTGGTTCTGTATGTACTCTGTAACCCACTGGTTCTGAATATTCTCCATAACCCATTGGTTCTGTTTGTACTCCATATCCCACTGGTTCTGTAATGTGCTCCAAAGCCAACCGGTTCTCTATGTACTCTGTAACCCACTGGTTATGTTTGTACTCCATAGCCCACTGGTTCTATATGTAAAGTACTCCATAACCCACTGCCATTGGTTCGCTTACATTTTAATAGTGGCTTGTGATGCGGTCAAATCTAGACACCTGATTGTGCTATGTAAAGCACAATGAATTTCGCAGGGTTTTAGAATGAAGAATAAAAGTATTTAAACAACTTCCTCAAAAGTGTAAAACCAGCTCCACTCGCAACTGTTTCTCGTTTCATCTCACATGACAGCACATATGGGCGGGAGCCCCTTTGAAATTAAAATACTGTACAGGCAGTCCTCGATTGACGAACACCTGTACTTACCAACCAGCTTCCATGAAATATCAAATACAACATTCACTTAAAACGAGAACTCGCAATTGCAAACCGAACCGCGTAACTATTTTGGTTCAGAGGAGCGATTCCTCCGCCAGAGATGAGTCGGCTTCGTGCTCGGAGTGAGTGTCTGTGTGTGTCTGTATGTGTGTCTGTGTGTGTTGGTGCTCGCTAACAGCACTTGCCCCTACCGTCTGTTCAGGCTATACGGGGGATCTTTGTCTTTGTTTGTTGGGGGAGCGGTGGTGTAGCTGTTAGCGTGCTGCGCTATGAACCTGGCGACCCGGGTTCGATTCCCACTCACGGTCAACACCAGTGACGATTATCTGAACCGGTCATGGGCCTCCCCTAAGTCGACTCAGCCTCAAATGAGTACCTGGTAAGGTGTGTAAACATCGCTACTGGAGTGACAAAGGCGGCCGTGCGGGGCGCTGGTCGTTCACCCCCTCGTGTGCCGTGCCGGCCTTCATAGGCGACGCTCGCCAACAGCACTTGCCCCGACAGTCTGCCAAGGCTATACGGGGGTCGCGTTGTGGTGTCTCTTTGCCTTTGTGTGTGCACAATTGTGGTGACTTCTTTCTGAATACAAGCGAGAAATCGGGACTCCTGATAAGTGAAAATAAAACAGTTTTTTTTTATGTTTTATTCATGATACAGTACTTTTCTAAAGTTTCACATGCAGATGTACAATATTTATCCTTATTTATGAGTTTAACAATGCTTCCCTTTTCATTGAACCGTAACAGATTTCGTAACACTGACCGTAAGGGCATTTAAATAGTACATTAAATTATTGTGTTCCGACTTACGAACCGTTCGACTTTTGAACGAGTCTCGCGAACGAATTAGGTTAGTAACCCGAGTACTGACCTATTTAACTTTGTATAATGTATATACAGTACTGCATAGACTAAATATTATGCGATCTCAACCTTCCCAACGCAGTGCTGAATTTGTGGCATTATTCAGAAAATGTGAAATTACAAATGTCACTTGTAAAAGCACATTTCACCCAGAGCACACAAAGTGCTGTACAGAGGTAGAAACAGAAATATTTTTTCCAAAAAAATATGAACTTCAGTTTTCAGTTTAATTTATTTGGTATATCCCTGTGAGCCATTCGGCTCTTGAATCGATCAGGAACTTTATGAGCCAGGTATAAATTCCTCGTTCCTGTGGTCAGGGGGCACTGCCTCCATAGATAATTCTCACTCATTCGCTATTCTTGAGTCTCCTCTAACAGATGCAAGATTTCAACACGCATCGAGTCAGCAAGGGCCTCCTCGCCAAGCCCCGGGGTGCGGCTTCTGCGCCACCGACCTTCCCGACACTCGCCACAACATCGCGTGGCATAACCCTGTGGGGTGCTGTGACACGAGGCAGTTGTCAACCAATATGGTGTGGTAATATCTAGTCCAGTAATCCAGCCGAGGCTACGCGAGACGTGCAAATCGTTCGTAGTCTATGATCGCAGCATTGTTTTAAATGCAGTCACCGACGACCTGGGCGGAGGCATCAAGTTTGAGCGCAACTCGATCGATCACCCGTTTATCGATCACACAAAGTCCCAGCCAGACACGGCCATCGTGAATCATCCCCCGAGTGGCAGCGGCCCTCAGGGCTGTAGCCCCCGACCGCAGTGGCGCCAAGTGGATTCGACAGCCAAGACGAACCTCCCCGCAAAGCCACTCAATGCCCGCAACTTGGTACAGAATCTCAGTGGCCTTGACACGGCCATGAGGTAGCCCCGGCGACACCAGCCCGGGGCACGAACCCGCGGGGTATCAGCGGTGGCGGTGTCCCATTTGTGTCTCTGGCATGGCCGTGATTAATCCCTTTAGATAAAAACAGCTTAAGAGCTTACAGGCAGCATCTCAGTGTCTCTGATACGGACATTACCAGGTCGGCGTGCCCATTATGAACTCCCCGAGAGAAATACTCCCAACTTTAGTGTGTTAACCACACAGATGATCGATATCCGGCATGGCCATTATGAGCCGGTGAGACACCTGGACCCAGGTCTCGAACCTATTCCTCAACATCGCTGGCTCAGTGCCTGTGACGTGGTCATTATCAACCCACGAATCCACCCAACAACGGCAAATTGTACTTGTAATGTGAGTAAAATTCGTTATCCACCCTATCAAGACGAGCACTGGTTAACGTAACTTTAAACGGAACAAACTTTAATAATCATTGCGAACCCAGCCACCAATGCCTCAGGGACAGCGCTGTGAACCAATCCCTGCACTAACAACAGGCCGACCACGCTCACAAACACATTCACGAACCGGTTACCTTCTCACGCAAACTATAACCAGCAACTAAACAATGAAAGTAACTTTTTAAACTAATCTGGTCCGTGCGGCCTAGCAGCCCACGCCGCCTCACGCCTTTCCTGAGCTGCCTACCCGACATGACTCGCCTCCGGCAGAGGACGGAACCGACCGGTCTCCGCCACGGGGATCGTGGGCGGATTTGCGCGACTCACCAGACATCTCTGGAACCGCCGCCACATTCCCTGGCGCGGAGATCGGAGTGAAAACGAGTTCCCTCTGCGAGACGGGATGCGGCTTCGCTTGTCACGGCAGGAGCAGCAGCAGCAGCAGCAGCGGCGGCGGCAGCAGCAGCGGCACGAGTTGTGGCGATGGGTGGTCAGTGGCATCCACTTCCACGTCAGTGCCCCGCCCCCGTTACCGAACACCGGGACGCACGGCGTCACCGCTTTGCAGCCGAGGCGGTGTTTGCAGCCCGAACCGTGTTGTACCACTTTAATTCAAAAGCTTTAAATGCATTTGTGAATATGATTCGTCCGCATTTACAGATTACGTTTAATTTCTGTACTGCAGTTCAATTAATTTCATTGAACAGAATCGACGTGCAAGAACAGATCTGAAAGCATGCAAATGCATGAGCTGCATTTGCAGCCGTGGGTGTGTCTCCACTGCAACACTATTGATTTAAACGTCTTTGGATACACGTTGTTGCAAATTGTCCGCATTTGCAGGTCATGTTGCGTGTTCTTTCATGCAGTGCAATGAATGCAATAACAGGTCTGCGAGCGTGTGCTGTGCATGATATCTGCATTTGCAGCTCAAGCCAGATCTCTGTACTGCGGTACAATTGAATTTTTACTTGAATTTGTTTAACCAGATGCGAGCTCTCACAAACATCATCATACGATAATTGAACAAGTGTGCGTTTGCCTGTCCGGATTTTAAAAAGTAATTTTTTTGAGAGCATGACATTCGTGAAACATCAATATTCAATTAAACATTCCATGTGTATTTTTTAAATCTTAGTAAAAAAATTTGTAAAGTTTGCGAAACTTTACAATTTTACGACGGTCTCATTCGCGACACATTTATGACGTCTATTTAAGGCCACAATGGATCGATTTGTGGCACAAAGGTGCCATCCATTTAGTAGGTACGAAAAAACGTCAAAACTTGACCCCTCCCTGTACGCACGCGGCCTTTTAACCCCCCCCCCCCCCCCCCCCGAATCCTATAGAACGGCCGATATTTAATCCACGCAGAAACGATCAATGATTAATAATATGAACGTGTTTAAGCAAACAGATAGTCCACCGCCGGCTGCATTATTATCGAGGCTTCACCCCCCCCCCCCCCACCGTTTCCTATGCGTACATTATCAGTAGACCCATCCGCCCCTGCATGCCGACGTGCTCAATGGATGGTCCCAAACTTCACTTACGACCGACTCAGGACACATTTAAACAGCGATGGCTCTTCTGTTAAACGTCAGTAAAGTTTATTTTAAAAAGTTCAAGTCACTAAAGCAGAGGAAGGAATGTAAATAAATTTTTTATCTATAAAAATTGCTGTCAATTTCAGTAAAAATGTCATGTACAGTAACGCACTGTACACTTAGCACTCTTGACCTATCAATTAAGCGCATTGGGGGAGTGTTTTCTCACGTGTTCTAGCATTCAGAATGGTTAATACGTTGTTTTTAAAATGCAAACAAATATTCCCTGTTATTGTCCATTAATTTCTTAGAGTAGTTTAGATTTGACTAATTCTAACCATAGGGACCGACATCTTCTAATCATGACATTACAATGGTTTATCTTGCATTGGGATGTTTGACCAGCTCCTGTTTAAGAATGTTTGGTTTTAATGAAACCCCACTTTCGAACACGTGGATGCATGTCATTCCGACTTTAAGCCAGTACTGTTCTCCTGTACTGCATTAAGTGTATAACATCAAGCGGGTTACTTAAAAGCAAACTCCAATGTGTAAAGGTCGAGTAAGCCGCTTTCAATACGTTCACTGCGACACCAGGGCCAGTTCAGACATTGCTGTTGTGGGGGTTGATGGCACAGTGCGCTAACTGCTGCGCCACCGCTCCCCCTCGATTTTCAAACCGTGTATTTCAACGACTCCTCCATGAAGCAGAATGCATCCTGAGGACGAGACGGTAGATGATGCAGGTCTTCCCTCAAGTAGACACTTTCACTCTCCGTTGGCTCTCCCCTGCTGATAAAGAGGTCACCTCTCCAGATGCACCGCAGCGCTAAATAACGGCAACTTTAACCCCAGCCCGGCACAACAACAAAACTAATTGGCATGGACAAAGCAGAACACAATCCTTTATTGCTAATAATAAAAGCATCGTTCATATTTAGAGTGAATTACTGGCATCAGAACAAACAACTTGAGCGAGGATTGTTTTAGATGTAAGACTTCATTTGGCTGTCTGCTACTTAAAGAAGCCACGCTGTGCATTCGGCTCGGTATGAAGTGCGGGGTTCGTGGCGGCGGGCGGTGGGGAGACTGGGAGATCGTTGGCTGAGAGAGAGGCGAGGGGGGCATGCCCTCTAAGTAGGGCACTGGAAAAGCTGTGAGAATGCCCCTGCATGTGGCATCTGCCGCGACTGCCAGCAAATGCCTCCACGCCTTAAACAAAGCCCACATTCTGAACCGCGATTTTAGCGACGGCGTTGCGACCCACGCCTCGAGGGGCGACTACGACGAGGCCGCCGCCGACTCGCTCCCTGCCGTAGAGGTCGACGATTCACCCCTACGGCGATTTCAACAAATTGCCGCAATTCGGTCGCACTTTTGATTCTATAAATCGATAATTTTTACATTGTAACGGCATCTAGTGGTTTCAGGGGTCACGTGAACCGATTGGGTGCATACAAACTGAGCAATACATTTTAATACGTTATTTGACAATACCGCAAGCTTATGCATCGTCAAAGGCTCGATGGCAGTTGACAACAGACCCAATCGTAATCGGGTGACCGACTCAAGATGACTGACAGATGCACCACCTGTGCTCCCGACGGTGCTACAATTCTGTACATTCTATTCAACGGTCAAGAGATGAACATTCAAATAAGGGCCAATGCGAGGCCGGCACTGGGCTGAACCCTGCACCGCCAAGTGTCCCCTTGGCCCGTCAAGTTTACGCTTGTTAGTGGCGAATTACGGTGACCGTGGCCCCTCACACAACCGCTCTTCTGCCCCCCCCCCTCCCCCAGAGGATTTGGAGCCTGGCCTCATACAATTAACAGTTTTCAAAACTCAAGTGAAACAGAATTCACTCCAACCCTCACCTAATTGGTGGCAACTTAACCCCATGGCGACTGGAAGAGAATTTCAGTCAGGCGATGTCTCAAAAACAGTCGACGGCGGCTGTGCTACTACTTCTTGTCTTGCACTTTTAGTCGCTATTCATGAAACTATTCGAGATTACTTGTGTTACTGTTATTTAACCAGCAAAGCCTCACTGGGCCTCAACTGTTTTCCAAGAAGGTCCTGCCAAGTTTTCACAGGAGGCGACAATTGCGATGCGTTTCCAATTTAATATTTAGGCGCATAATTATTAAATTTGTGATAAATTGGACTGACAAACAATGGTCTACAGTGACGGGATCTTTAACGTCCATTGTGAGGCAGACAGCACATAGTATGTTATGGTTACTACACCGCAGCATTAATCAGGGTGGCTTGCCGGATTTTAACTGTGAACCTCTGCAATAAGCGGTGAACGCCACTTCACCACCGATATATTAACAAATGTCGACCATGCAAGTACCAGGACTCATGTGCAAAAGAGGTAATTAATATAGACGTGCCCTCGCCTGGTTAAATAAAGGACACCAATTTCAAATAAATATATTTCACCTTCAGTTCCAGTCGTGACAACATGCTCGTCATGTCGTCACTACTGGAATTCCAATATCACATGAGTTCCCTTCCACAGGGCCACATGCTTTCCACGAAACGTACACTACACACGGTATATGTTGTATAACCATTCATCAAAACACACATTTGCTTAACAACCAAAACCCTTTGTTCAAGATTTATAATCTTGAAGATCTATCACTTAAAACATCACTGTGAGTGCTCACTGTCTCTGCCTTGAACGTACAAAATCAGCACTTCGGTGCATTTGACACCTGGTCACCTCCAGCAAACTTATAGAGCCCTCGTCTCGTCAGAACTACCCTCTATGAAATACACAACTCGTACCATCTAACACGGAACCCTTTCTTCAACAATTACAGAACCCTAATCGATCCGAAACAAAACCCTCATCTGCTCCAATACAGGACATTATTACTACCACGCTCGCTTACCCAGGAAAACCTCAACGAGTCTCAAGATCATTTTTCAGGAGGGTCCCGCCATCTTTCTGTAGTCGGGGGTGAAGTTGCCATGTATAATCACAATTGAATAATCTGCCGGTAATTTTTCAGCATTTGGATGTTTGGCCAATACTAATAATATCGCATATTTTATTATTGTGGGAGAACCTGGAGGAAACACATGCAGACGAGGGGGGAAACAAACTAAAAACTAATTCCACGCAGAAGAAAGGTGCTGTGTGTCAGGAACTGAACCCATGGACCTATTTACCGTGAGGCCTAACACCACCGCACATCCAATCTGATGCAGAACCCTCGTCTCATGAGATACAGAATCCTCATCCGATGCACAGTTTGGAGCGAGGCGACACCTACAGTGTGCGTACAAGTGCACACTCTATTGTGTGCATGTGTGTGTGCGTGTGTGTGTGTACGAGCCTTGGCCCAGTAGTACATACCAAGCACACGGAGTGTGAGTACTTTTCATAGCTGCGCAGCACTGCTCATCGATACGGCCTTCAAAGGCCCAAGTGGTGCGGAAGAGTGCATTACTGCAGTACCGTTTGTGTCCACGTGAGCGCGGTGTGGTAGTGTTTACTGTGGTGTGCACTGGTGTAGTGTCCAAATGTTTTTGAGAAGCCCTCATTCAGCATGAGGCATCTATAGCGCTGCTCACATGTTGCATGGCTCACTGTAGGGTGGTGAAGAGCAGCGCGGTGTAACAGAGTAGTGTGGTATAGTACGGGTGTCTTATGTAGTTGAGTGTAGAGTTGTTGGGTGGTGTATTGCACTGTAGTGTGGCGAGAGCGGGTGGTCTAGTCGTTAATTACATCGTGCGGTGTGAGGAGCTCGGGGTAGTGGAGAGGTGCAGTCAGGTCGTCTTGTTGAGCACGTTGCGCGGCTCGCTGCTCGGCACGCACCAGTCGTCGGCCTCATGCAAGTTGCGGTAGTGGCGCCACGCTGAGCGGTTAAACACCGGCAGCTTCTCCACCGACTCACTCGACAGCGCCTGCAACACACCGCGCGGCACCCGTCACCGCCCGCACGGCACCCATCACCGCCCGTGCGTTGCGACTTCGGTTACGCCAAGCGCGCACACGCAGCGAGTCACCAGTCGTCGTCTCAACGACGCGCGGCGCAACCCAGAGGCGCGTCATGGGAGACACAAACAGTAAAACACACCTGCCCCTCCATGCAAGCAATACATGTGTACGATTACGCGTCGCCTGTAAGCCCTTCTGGGAGTACATCATTTCAGCAGTACTGGATTGGTACAAGCAACACTGGGGAGAACGACGTCGGACGTGGTGCGTGCGGGCAGCACCACCTTCAGGTAGATGAGCGCGTCCGTGCCCTGCCCCTCCATGGAGTAGAGCTTCAGGTCCCCATTGAAGTACTGCGCATAGAGCCGCGATATGGGCAGGCCGAAGCCAAAGCCGGCCTGTGGGAGAGAGTCGCACATGGCCCGTTCTGAAGTGCAGCACCACCCAGCAGGAGGAAGCTTCCACAACCAGCAGAGACTTCACCAAGAGAGAGGGGAGGGTGAGCCTACCAGCAGGGCAGGGGGGAGGGTGAGCGTACCAGTGGCGGGGCGCGGGAGACATCGGTGTGGGGTGGAGGCGCGGTGGAGTACATGTAGTGGAAGAGTCGCTCAATCTTCCTGAGAGGAACTCCTCCTCCCTGATCGCTCACCTTCACACGCAGCGCGCGCGCACCGGCCAGACCATGGGTCAGCCACACCACCAAGACACACGCTACCACGAGTCACACCACACCATGAGACACACCACCACGAGTCACATCACACTTCCCCTGGTCGCCCTTGGCCACCTTGATGGTGAGGTCCTCAGGGCCGAGCGTGATGAGCACGTGAACGGGGGGGAAGTCCGACTCCCCGTGGTGCTCCACCGTCGCTCGCACCGCATTCTGGTGGGGGAGCATGGGTGGGGGGGCACAAGGGGAGAGGGTCAGGGGGAGGGGAGATTCAAATAAGACTGCGACGTCTGCATGGCCAAGGTTTCCGATGCCACTACCACACCTCGCTAGCAATGCTCTCCACCCTTTGGCAGATCTCGCCCTTGCATAGCAGACGCACGCAGCCATCTCCAAGATCGGCGCGGACAGACTCCCACCATCAGCTATAGGGTGGCTTCTCTTCCCCTTGGTTGCTGTACTTGTGGAGACCCCTCCAATACCATGTCGGCATTCATTCAATTGACAAAACAGATTGTACAGCCTCATGCACGTGTTGGATGGTGAGGTGATACACTGCTAAGAGTTCCATATGGATTCTGCATTTCACAACGTTAGATAAAAAATCTTAATTCTAATAACATTACTAAAACAGAGACAAATCAATGTTAATCGATGAATCTCTTCCCCTCCGGAATCACTTTGAGAGTCTTTGTAGCAACACGCGACCGCACAATCGCACTCAATGTCGACGTCACGTTGCGATAAAGAATTCTCTTGGCTTTCTCGCAGCGCCCAGCCCCGCACGTTAGAGAGCGGCCCACGGAAGCGGATACAACAGAACTAGCTCCGAGATCCCTTCTTGGAGTGAAGCATAAAACAAACGGCGACCGTGGACGCCTAGGAACGTGGGGGGCTGCTTACCTTTAAGAGCTCAAAGAGCATGTGAAAGAGGTGAGAGGGCACATACACCGCCTGGATGGGAAGGCCCGGGTTCTTCCCTACGGTCAGGCAGCATGGAGGGAAACAGAGAGAGAAAGAACACCTCCTCACCCGCATGCGTGACAACTCTCGCCACCGCCTCACCACAACGCACGCTGCTCGCACACTCGCTCCCATCCTCCGGCCCGGCTCAGTTTCAGTGAAACCCATCGACTGAATGTATGACTCGCAGAGTCCTGGTCGTGCTTCTCGAGTGAAGGCAAGGGAATGTAGAGCATTACCACTTTCCAGGTTGAGATCGATTATGCATAAGCTGTCAGTGTCCAGCCAGGTGGTCATGATGACCGTTGTAAAGGTGATCCAATACGAATGAAACATTGGTATAAAATCACATTGCTACATAGAACTTGGTCTAGAAAATAGCAGCCACAAGGATAAAAGTGTTCACCATTATCTGAAGGCACACAAACCAGAGAAAAAAATATTATTTGCAATATGATCATTCGTAATTGGGGACAATTAGGCACAGCTGCGCTTTTGGCATATATACAGTATTCGTAATTCGTCAAGAGCCGAAATTCCAAACCGAATGGTCCAATTTAGGCATTCACGTGGAGCGACGCCACGCGCCACAACCAAAACAATTACTCAGTGTGGTGGCGGCGCGCGTGGTGAGCGTTAGTGCAGACCTCTTGCTTTGGACTTTACCTTTTTTATGCACTCTGTGCAAGCCAACCCTCTCGGAAATGTCGTCTACACCCACATCAAGAAGTAATAGAAAGGGACTGAAGTATAAATCCCTTAGTCTGCGAGATAAATCCAATGTGTGTCTATGTTGTGTGCGTGTCTCTGTGTGTCTCTGTGTTGTTTCTCTCTGCTTATGTGTCTGTCTGTGTGTCTCCGTGTGTGTTTTGTCTCTCTCTCAAATTTAGTTCTACCTGATGACGATTGCTTGTGTTGCGATCAAAATGTCGTATTCTATGATTTCATTTATTTTCTTTCTACGGGACTTTACCGAAAGAACCAAAGAGTAATTCCTGCAGTGACGAAAGCTTCAAATCATGTTTAAATACAATGTTTTGGATAGAACTGATGCAGGTGTGTCAATGCGTATGGCGTGTGAATAGTTTGGGAAAACAAATTTGGAAGAAAAAAATTGAGGTTGCATGCACGAGAGAGGAGTACCATTGTACATTATTCGGAATATTGAATATTGGATAATTTGGCAAGGCCAATATAGTATTTTGCATTTTACTTACATGTTAGTGCTTGCAATATGCAAAAGTAGATTACTAAAAAGTTCTTAAACTTAAAGTTAATTCAACATAAGCTGGACGCGAGCCTTTCCAATCGTGGCAACGTTACAATTTGTCACAAGGCTTGTGATGCACGATGACGTCATGAAACCACCGCGTGCCCAAGATGTCTCAAGGGCACCGGAGGGCGCGCCCCCTCCCGTGCGAGGTGCCAGGGCTGTGCTGGCAGTGTGCCTACCGTTGTGCTGCTGGATCTGAACGTCGGGACATCCCAGGTAGTACTGATTGCACAGCTGCTTGGCGCTATCGAAGGCATCTGTGAACACACACACACGCAGGGGCGCATGGGTGCTGCGCCAGGCTAGGTGCACGATGATGCACACCTCGCTGATGAAGGTGTCAGGACAGACCCAGGCGCACTGTGGTGGACAGGTACAAGTTCACGGCTGACATGTCATGTGACGGGGGAGGTGCTCTCAAGTCAGAGCGTCTTCACCGGTTGCCTGTGTGGTATGAATTCCACATAATTCTGACAAGGGCCAGTTCATCCGAAGAACAATCACTGTAGACATCTAACAAAGGGGTCCTCATTTTATTGACCCAAAAGGAATGATGATGACAGGATGGGTTGAGCCCTACTCATTGTTTGAACTCACAATTTTTCGGTTCAGAGTCGAGAGTTCTGACCACATTCAGAACATTGTGATGTGGACAATCACAGCAGCTTTAACATCTATACCAGTGTCTAGGTGTCCTGTACTGGCAAATATCGTACCACCACATATTCACCATGTGACTTGCAACAATCAGAAGCCGACTCAAAGCTCCTGCCGATAAAGACGCCCTGACTAAGATCTCGCGACCACGGCGGAGATCCCGAACTCGTCCAAATGTCTACATGGACATGGTGCGAAGCAACTCGTGGGCTTCAAACAACGTGCCCAACACCACACTGCCCAGCGAGCCCACCACCACACTGCCCATCGAGCCCAACACCACACTGCGCAGCGAGCCCACCACCACACTGCCCAGCGAGCCCACCACCACACTGCCCAGCGAGCCCAACACCACACTGCCCAGCGAGCCCACCACCACACTGCCCAGCGAGCCCACCACCACACTGCCCAGCGAGCCCACCACCACACTGCCCAGCGAGCCCACCACCACACTGCCCAGCGAGCCCACCACCACACTGCCCAGCGAGCCCACCACCACACTGCCCAGCGAGCCCACCACCACACTGCCCAGCGAGCCCACCACCACACTGCCCAGCGAGCCCACCACCACACTGCCCAGCGAGCCCACCACCACACTGCCCAGCGAGCCCACCACCACACTGCCCAGCGAGCCCAACACCACACTGCCCAGCGAGCCCACCACCACACTGCCCAGCGAGCCCAACACCACACTGCTCAGCGAGCCCACCACCACACTGCCCAGCGAGCCCACCACCACACTGCCCAGCGAGCCCACCACCACACTGTCCAGCGAGCCCAACACCACACTGCCCAGTGAGCCCACCACAACACTGCCCAGCGAGCCCAACACCACACTGCCCAGCGGACTTTCATCTTCCACAATAACAATGGCAGCGCTTAACCGGATCCCCATACACCACTGAAGATGCGTACACAAAATGCACAAGTGCAGAATAGACTCTCGCCTGGTGTGCGACTGTAGCTATGAACTTCAAACTACGGACTGTGTAACTCCGCACTGTCCCAAATTAACATATGAAGGTGGTGGGTGGGTGAGTGGGTTGGTGGGTGGCTTAGTGGGTACATCTATAATTCACCAACTCTCAGACAAATAGGATGGCTAAATCAGTTACAAATGAATCTCTAACAGTTCCTCTACACAGGCTACATGAAACATGAAGCAGCTTTGATCACACCAGGAGACACTAGGAGCAATGTTCATCCGAGAAGTCCGAGGTTCATCTCCGGCTTCTTCCGCCACTCACCCTGCACCACCTCTGCCACCTGGCACGTGGGGTCGATGGTTCCAATGTGCTTTGGGTGGATGTCCTCCAGGCCAAAGAGAAGCGCTGCAAGTGACATGCGCACACACTAAGCATCGTCTTTGCACGGATGGTGACACTTAAAAGGCCTCAGTAACTCAGAGTGCCTTATCGCACATCATCTGAACCATGTCAAGGGGCAACCCCAGTGGCAGCTGTCCCCGTGCGGCACAAGGCCACTCCCTAACAGCCAACAGGCAAAAGAAGTTCAACAAACATACAATTATTCTTCCAGTAGCAGATGACAATAGAATGTAATTCCAATTCACTGAATTTCAGGTCATATTTCCAATTTGGCAAATTTGGACATTGACGCCAGCACACAATGGCCGACGTGTTCATAAGTGTCGACATACGCACGCATACACCAAGGTGCACACACGTGTACAGAGTTCACAAGGCATGGGTCGCTGTATGAGTAGCTGCAGAGTCTGCCATCAGGGTTAGGGATCAGGGATCATGGGTATAGAGGGGAGAGTTAAGAGGTTGTGGGTTGTGGGGTGAGGGTTGGGTGGTTGTGGGTGGCAGCTGTGTGTAGTGGGTTACTGGGTGGTGTATAGTGGTTACTGGGTGGTGTGTAGTGTGTAGTGGTTACTGGGTGGTGTGTAGTGGGTTACTGGGTGGTGTGTAGTGGTTACTGGGTGGTGTGTAGTGTGTAGTGGTTGGTGGGTGGTGTGTAGTGGTTACTGGGTGGTGTGTAGTGTGTAGTGGTTGCTGGGTGGTGTGTAGTGGTTGGTGGGTTCCTGGGTGGTGTGTAGTGGGTTGCTGTGTGATATTAAGTGGGTGGCGAGCGGCACACCGTGCTGGTTGATGAGCATGCGGAAGGAGATGCGGCTCATGTAGAAGCGGTCGAGGAAGTACTGCACGTTGCGGTCGGAGGCCGGGTCGACGCCCAACACCTCCTTGTACTCCATCACGCCCTGCGCCATCGTGGGCACCACGTCCTTGTGCAGGGTGCGCACCTCCAGCAGTGTCTCTGTGAAGCTGGAATATGCACGCACACACACTGCTCAACACATGTACACGTGCAAGGTGTACTCTGTATGGGTCGTCTCCGTGGGCTCTCCACTGCTCTGAATGGAACTGAGACGGGTGGCGAGAGGAGCTCTTACTTGGTGAGGACCTTTCCATCATCGGGGTTCTTATCCACGTACCCCAGGATCTCGGTCATGCTCTTGGCGTACCTGGTGCAACACACACCCCTACCATGTTAAATTCAGTTATGCACTTTGCTCAACTTGGGAATGTAGCCTACATCAGGGCAAGTGCTGTTAGAGGTTGGCTGTTAAGACTGCTGCAGCACACAAGGAGGTGCCGTGCACAGACACGTATATAAAGACACACAAATATACACGTCAACACAAATACACACAATGCAGACACAAAGATGTACACACAGGAGGCGGCACACCCACTACCCTTGCATGAGCTGCTGAGAGAGACACATGCACACCCTCGTTCAGACACATGTACACACACATACAGACACACAACAGGTGGCACACTGACCAGCTCTGCACGAGCTGCACAGAGGGCGTGTGCAGCAGCTTCTCGGGCAAGAGGTTGATCTCCTTCATGGTGTTGGCGAGACGCACGGGCAGCTCCTGGCGCAGGAAGACGAACGACGTTCGCTCACACGCATTCTTAAAGCCTGCGCACCGTCACACAAAAAGACAGACTGTAGTTCGCGAGCAACTATGAAGGCCAGCACAGCACAAGAAGGAGTGAGTGACCAGCATCACGCATAGTTGCCTTCGTCTCCTTAGTGGCGATGGGTTCACATCGCACCGTGAGCAGGAATCCAAGGAGGGTCTCTAGGATCGTAGCGCAGTGCGCTAACCACTACCCCTCTGCTCCGTGCCACTCAAAAACAGACACAGAGCAGTAGTGGCTACGCACGTGGCCTGTGATCCAGCGCTGTGGAGGCAGCGGGCAGGGTTGGTGGATCCCCACACACAAATTTTGTGAAACTTCCTTTCCCGTGGGCATCAAGGAAGTGCTGTACCCAGGCTCGTCAGGAGAATGTGACACTCGCATGTGTGGGTTTTCTCTAGGTGCTCCAAGTTCCTGTGAAGGACGTTACTGCTGCCCACTAGCACCCTTCACACACCTCCTCTACAGAAGTCAATCTTGACACTGCTCCTACTAATTGTCAGCAAGCGCATTCAGCTCCAAATCCTCATCATCAGCATACATAACATCGCCTGGCACGACAGAGGCATCGCAACCTCCAGAACTCCATCCTGTGTGCACGCACCATGACCTTTCTGGGTATTTTTAGTCGACCGTCTCAAGCGCTCGCGGCTGTTTGTGTCCGAGCCGTGAATTTTAAAATAGGGTGTGGCAGTGCGGTAAAGACCGTGGCACAAACGATCAGCCCGGCGACCTCAAAGGTGCACACGAACCTGGCGCTCTGTGTAAACATTTACAGCGTGACACACAACGGCGGCCCTGCACATCAGCAACATACACAACAGTGCGATAGGGAGTGGATCACTCCAGTCAACGAGGCGTAAGTGATATTACAGCATCATTTGAAATATATTTAGGCTACAACGCATTGCCACGGGGAAGCTTCATGATCCCATGCTGCCCTAAGCCAGGCTGCCAGCAAATGACAAGCGGGAGATGTAGTAAATAGATGTTCACCAGGCGAGCAGCCTGGTGACCATCGAAACTCACACACACACTTGGTGATTATCTCATATACTGCCGGCGAATGATGGTGTCACACTGTGGCCCATGGTGTGAGATTGGTGACCGTAGTGGCACGGTGGGATATTTAGCATTGTTGATCAGAGTAAAAGAAAAATCATCCGCTGTGTGATGTTGTTGTAATTCAGCAGTTTGGGGGAAGCAAGCTGTAACTGGGAGAATATTCTGTGGTTGATAAGGTAAAATTTAATATTTAGGGGAAATGTTGGCAGAAAAGCACAAACACAAATAAACAATATACTTCACAGGTACAGTACCTCTGGATTGGAAAACTGGGGTCGTGGTTCCCATGTTTTTAAAAGACCAGAGGGTGTGCTCCAACTGCAGAGGAACCACACTCCTCAGCGTCCCAGGTAAAGCTTTTGCCAGACTTCTGGAAAAGAGGCTCTGCCCAGTGGCTGAGCCTCAGATTCAGGAGGAAAAATGTGGATTCCGTCATTGTCGTGGACCAATGGACCAGCTCTTTTACCTCTCACAAATATTTAAGGGGTCATAGGAGTATGCTTCTCCAGTCTACCTCTGCTTTGGGTAGAATGTGAGAAAGCATATGGCCGTGCTCCCCGCAATGTCTTGTGAGAGGTGCTGCGAGTATGACGTACCGGTGCTGCTTTTGTGCACTATCCGGTCCCTCTATTCCCAGAGTGAGAGCTGTGTCCGTATTCTTGGTGTTAAATCAAAGTCGTTTACTGTGGGTGTTGGGACTCCGCCAACAGTATGTCTTGTGTCTCCACTCCCGTTTTACTATTTTCATGGACAGGATATCAAGGCGCAGCCGAGGTATGGAGAGTATCCAGTACGGGGACATGGAGGTCGCGTCGCTGCTTTTTGCAGATGACGTTGTCCTCTTTGCCTTGTCTGTGATCTCCAGCGGGCACTTAAACGGCTTTATGCCGAGTGTGAAGCGGCTGGGATGAGGATCAGCACCTCCAAATCTGAAGTCATGGTTCACTCCCAGGAGACGGTGGATTGTTCTCTCCAGGTGAGGAGAGAACAGCTGCCCTTAGTGGAGGAGTTTAAGTACCTCAGTGTCTCTTTCACAAGTGATGATAAGTGGAAGCAGGAGATCGGCCGGCGGATCGGCGCGGTGTTCGTAGTGTTGCGGGCACTGTACCGTTCTGTGGTAGTGAAGCAGGAGTTGGATTCTCGAACAAATCTGTCGGTTTACAGATCGATCTACGTTCCCACCCTAACCTATGGTCATGAGCTTTGGGTAATGACCGAAAGGATGAGATCGCGGATACAAGGAGCCGAAATGAGATTTCTCTGCAGGGTTGCCAGGCTCACTCTGTGATCGGGTGAGGAGCTCGGTAATCCAGGAGAGCCTCAGAGTTGAGCTGCTACTCCTCCGGATCAAGAGGAGCCAGTTGAGGTGGTTTGGGCACCTGGAATTCTACCGGGCACGTGCCACTGGGCAAACACCCCGGGGCTGGCCCAGGACACGTTGGCGGGACTACATTGCTCAGCTGGCCTGGGAACACCTGGGAATTCCCCAGTCTGTCGTCAGGGAAAGGGAGGTCTGGACACCCCCTACTCAACATGCTGCTTCCACGACCCTCACCAGGACAAGCGGACTAAGATACGAACGAACTTGGCTTATTTATCATTAACACTGCCTTATAAAATAAAAGTTAACATTACATGTGTGTTCTGTTAGTGACCAATGCGCTGAGTTTGTGTTTTTAATCATGTTCAATCAGGTCTCACTTCTATTAACTAAAACTAATTCTAAATGAGCTCTCAACTGTGTATATCAAAGACACCACATGGAACAGTAATAGGCACACGTGTTGAGATGAGATGCGAGTTGCCGATGGCACTTAAAGTGCTCCGAGATGACCCGGTGTGATGGAGGGCAGGGCTCTATCCAACATCAGTCGTTATTGATATTTATAGAGGACAGCACCAGAGTAGCTGCAACCGTAATGGACATAGCCAGAGAGGAATAGGGGGGGGAGAGTAGAGGTCCAAGGGAGGTTAACCGTGGTCAAGGCTGGACACGCAAACCTCCTGAGTGTAATGGAAATAGGCAACGTCCATTATTAGCCGAGAGAGATGCCATCCAAGTTTGTTTTGTAATTTATTTTGATATTGTTTGTATTGTCTGGCAAATATATTTTGAAAACAGATGTACAACCGTAATCAACACTATCCATCACCCTCTGGCCTGATTACAAAATAATACAATGCATGTAACACCAGCGTTTAATGTTTTGTAAAACACAACTTTCTCTTGTAAGGCAGTGTTAATGACAAAAAGTTACATTTTATTTTATACGACGTGTTCATGTGAGTTCACGTGACCCCTGCAGCCATAATCATTTTTAAAATATCGATTCTCGAATCAAATCAGGAGCCTGGACAGTGAGAATGCATCACGTCGCTGGGGAGCAAATCGTTCTAGCCCGAGCTTACGCACAACAGACTACGCAATGGATTGTTAAGAAGGTCACGGGTCCGCACACTAAGCTTCACCGCACAAACGTGTCCTGTATCTTTATTTTGCCCCAAGCAGAATCACAACCCTGGAATCTGTTATGGGAGATCAATAACTACCCCCTGCGTCACACGCACCCATTATCTCACAACCACCATGTACCGTGGGGGTCTCATACAGCACACGAAGCGACGGGACAAAGATCCCCGTGTAGCCTTTAACAGACTGTGACGTGCTGTTGGCAATCACCTATCGAGACCGGCACGGATGAAGAGGGAATGGTGTGACCGGAACCATGTTCGGCCGCAGTTATCTCCCCAGTGCTGATGTTTTGCGCACCTTGACAAAGGAGCGATTTAAATATTCACCATTGATGTTAGCTGTGGTCATAAATTGAACTCAGGTCACCCAGTTGCTAGAGAAATACACGAACCACTACGAGACGTTGGTTAGACGTGTTGCCTTTCTAAAGAGGCAAAGATGTTTCATGTGTCTTCATTCATTTAATCTTCTGGTTAAATAAAGAATAGAGACTCGCTGACTGTCCTTTATTTTTAACTTTCCTTTGCTACAGGGAGGCTGAGGTACAACATATATTATAGTTCAGAACAGAACAGCAGCACCATAAAAACCAAGACAGATAACAGAATCAGTTTCTCAGCAAAATAAAAGGGAAGTGCAACAAACATCATAAAATACTCAACTGAAATAATTACATCCAGGATCATCGAGCAAATCGCCCGATGATGCTGGATGTAATTACCAGCGGAATGTCGTACTACTCAGATTGTAAATGTTGTAGATTCACTCAACACACCGGTGGGCTGAAGTAGTGAACTATTTGGCGTTTTTTACTGACAAATCCCTTACTGATTGGCCGTGTCGGGTGGTGGAGGGTTTCGACACATTTATACTTTACACGATCTAACCCAACAACCTTTATTATTAATAATATTGGTCGCGAAAGCCGACGTGTTATCCCATGTGTATAATAGATGTTGCGTTGAACAGAATGTCGAGCAAGCATCGGCTTTAGAACATTAACGAGGATGGAACTAAGAAACACCGATACACTTGAATGTCTGTTAGTTAGTGTATGCCTTCGGGTTTTATTGTGCTTCAGCAAATTGTACTTAATTTTACAACACAGTAGTTTAATCATGATGTCCTGTGAATTCCATGTACTCTCGGCCTCTCGTGTAAAAACAGTATCCTATCTGAGAGTTCTCATCTGGTGATAATCTTGTGCCTGCGTCTGCTCCGTGTACTTGCTGTCCTTCCCCCACACCTCCGATTAGCACGGTTTGGTAAATAAGGTGCGAAATAATTTCAACATTCATACACGCACATTCACAAAGATGGCTAAAGTAATTTGCAAATATCCAACTGGTCCTGGGGTTTCTCCTAGGTCGACTCAGCCTTTACAATATGGATGAAAGCTAATATAATCGTACCTCAGTTCTGTCTCCATATATTAAAAACCACAAATATATTTTTAGCCC